CTAATTCGCCACCTCCTTATTCCCTTGCATGACAAGCGCTTTCTTTCTCTCTCTCTCTCTCTCTCTCTCTCTCTCTCTCTCTCCCTCCCTCATTCCCTGTAACGTCACAATCAAAATTGAGTAAAAATTATTTGAATCTTTCAAATGGCCCAATAAAATCGTTCAGGTATATGTCCTTCGGATTGCGACCACAATTGTTGTGAGATACTATTAAAATAATTCCCATGGCCTCCAACGTACAGCTGTGACCGTCGCAGGTGTATAACGGCCGGGTCTGGTAAATATAGGCAGATGTATGCTATATGGTTCTTGAATAACTACAGCTGAATAAAAAGTTTTATTTACGTTGTCGGATACGTAGATAATCGGAGTAGAGGGAGGGGGGGGGGGGGGGGGGGGTGGGGCTTTGTTGACGGGAATATATATCAACATTATTCCACTAGATAGTTACTCAGAAAAACTAGTCCAAGCTATTGCCAACACTATTGCAAAGACTAAGATACATATAGGAGAGTTGGTAAACCATGTTTGAGGTGGCGTATACGGCCAAACAAAATACTAATATACATGTACGTCATGTTGTGACCAACTGAACATGCCGTGATGGAAAGCCTGCTGAAACCAAAGAGATATTACATTTGCTGAAACCGAAGTTGGCCGAACTCCGTGTCTAGTTGGCTCTGTAACCCTTTATATCACCACCCCCTCTACTGCTAATAATTATGTCAAGCTGCCGTGATATCGCACTCAATTTTAGCAATAGTTACTCAATACAGAGAGCGATATCACAGTATGTTAATTGAATAATTAATATTATTATCAACTTTACGAATCTCTTTCAGACGGACGAACTCTCGATCTCGGCCAAGTACACGTTTGCTTTTCCTATCTTTCTTTCACCCAACCCCAAATCATCAGTTTCATGATCAAAACAATGAAAATTCTCACGATAAAAGAGGTAATGAGGTATATGAAATACAAGGCCAAATCTTTTACAGCGACAGCCTTGTACAGACCTGTTTCTGAAGATCCTATTTTGAACCGTCCCATGAATTACTGAGATAGCCCATATGCTAGATCGACCTATAGCAGACCTGTTAAATTTGCTTCTCCCGCTAAAATAAAATAAGTACAAATCTGTTTAAATTCCATTTATAGTGTAGTATGTTAAAGATTAAACAGACAGTAAAATGTTCTATGATCTGCCGATCGTGTGTCACTCTTAAATTTTTCTTCACATAATTATACGTACATATGAGTGCATATAACTTATCACAAAATAATACACAAAGCTGCGAATAGAGATGGCATCCCCTTCTCTCTCTCTCTCTCTCTCTCTCTCTCTCTCTCTCTCTCTCTCTCTCCTGATTATATTTTCTCCATTCGATATCTCCTAGTTGTGGCTACCACACTCATGGCAGAGGGGGCACAGCTGTCCCCCATTTTTACTTCAAGTAACTCCAAAGTGCCCCTGTTTACATAGGAAAAGTGCCCCTTCCCCTTTTGATCTGTGATAAGTGCTCTTTTCATTTAGACACGTTTCCCTTTTCCTTTGACAAGTTCCCATTTTTCTTTGCAATAAGTGTCCATTTTCCATTCTTATAAGTGTCTTTTTTAATCTCTATTAAGTGCCCCTTTTCAGGTACGAGAAGTGCCCCTTTTTCACTTTTGATAAGTGCCCCCTTCACCTTTGATAATTGTCCTATTAATATCTGAGAGGTGCCCGTTTTACTTTGACAAGTGCCCCTTTTCCTTTGCAAAAAGTTCCTTTTCCCCTATTAATAACTACTAATAATAACTACCCCATTTTAACTCAGATAAGCGCATCTTTTATTTTCACATGTGTCCCTTTTCTTTTCTAATAAGTGCCCCTTTTCCTTATAAGTTCCCCCATTACAAAAAAGAGAATGAAAATTTCCCCTTTTCATTCTCATAAGAACCCTTTACATCTCTGATAAATTACCTTTTTCAGGTACGAGAAGTTACTCATTTTCACTTCAGATAAGTGTCCCATTCACCACCGATAATTGCCCCTACTCAAACCTGAGAGATGCTTGTTTTAATTTGACAAGTGGTCCTTTCCCTCTTGATAAGTGCTCTTTTCATCTCTGATAACTGCCCCTTTTATTTTCACACGGTCTCTTTTCCTTCTAATAAATGCTCTTTTCCCTTCTATTAGCGCCCTTCCCCTTCTCTTAATTATCCCTTTTCATGTCTGATAAGTGCCCCGATTATTCTAACATGTGTCTCGTTTCTTTTGAGCCACTTCCTCTTTTCATATAAACCCCCTCTCACCTCTGATAAATGCCCCTATTAAAATCTGATCGGTCTTCCTTTTATTTCAACAAATGCACATTTAACTTTATTATAAGTGCCCCTTTTCATGTCTGGTCAGTAGCCATTTTCAGGTGCGATAAGTGCCCCTTTTCACCTCTGATAATTTCCTTTTTAACAAGGATACATGCCCCTATTCCTTTCTAATAAAGGACCTATCCCCTTTACATAAATACCAATTTCATCTCTTATAAATGCCTCTACCAAAATCAAATGGATGCCCCTTTTCCGTCGACAATTGCCCATTTCCCATTCTCATAAGAGCCATTTTCCACTCTGATAATTACCCTTTGTACTTTGACACATGCTCCTTTTATTTTCTAATAATTTTCTTATCTCTTTCGATAAGGTCCCCTTTCCTCTCATTGTAATTACATCAGGATTGGGGTTTTTTCCTTATAAGATGTCATTTTTCGCAGTGAGACCTCACAAAAAATGACCTCTTAAAGTTTCCCTCGCTCCCTTCGCTTACTCGCAAATGAATATTTAGATTATCACACCGAACTGCAAAGTATGATGCTTAAGCATCTCTCTCTCTCTCTCTCTCTCTCTCTCTCTCTCTCTCTCTCTCATTCTCTCTCTCTTCTCCCTTTCTTTCTTTCCATGCCTATTCTACATTCTTTGGGCTCTGTAGTTCTAAAATACTTTCCTTAGATAAAGAACACAAAAATATTGACAGTGATTTAGAGGGATTGGGTGTTGTAGGATGTTGCATCGGATTCCTGCACTGAAAACGCACTGTTTCTCTTATTTTTCTGCTTTCTTACTAATGAACTTATTACAAAGGTTGGGTAACTTGGGTTACAAGGGTAATTCAACCCTTGTAATTAGTTTATTAATAATAATAATAATAATAATATGGATATTTATATAGCGCCGGTATCCGCCAGGCTCTGACGCTCATGGCGCTGTACATACATGTATTACTATCACAAAAATATAACTTCTTAACTAAAATAAAGTAAACTAAAACACAAATTATAACGCTACATTGACATGATTAGATAGCACTGTTTAGAAAGAGATGGGTTTTTAGAGCAACTTTGAAGGCATGAAGGGTAGTTAAATTACGAATACTAACTGGCAGCTTATTCCAAAGGGACGGACCAGAATGAGAAAATGCTCTATCCCCCCAGGAACTGCGCGTCTTAGGGACAACTAATAAGGAGGATTGAGATGAACGAAGATGTCTTGTAGGCTTATACTTAACAATCAACTTGATATTGTAGGAAGGAGCAGAGTCATACAAGGAATGGAAAACTAGCAACAACAACTTAAAAATAATTCGGTCACATACCGGGAGCCAGTGAAGAGTTTTGAGAATGGGGGTGATGTGGGTTCTACGAGAAGAAAGTGTGACAATACGTGCAGCAGTATTTTGCAGTTTCTGGAGTCGAGAAAGTTGTGTGTTAGGGAGCAGATAGAGAATAGAATTACAGAAATCTAAGCGTGATGAAATAAGAGCATGTACAAGTTTCTCTGTGGTTGAACGACTTAAGTATTTCCTAATAAAACCTAGATTTCTCAGTTGATATCTGACTGACTTACAAATACTAGAAACATGAGTTTCTAGTGTGATTATTATAATAGCAGCTGCAATTAAGAGAATCGTGATGGGGGAAAGTTTGATATAAATCAGACCAATAATAAGAGAACTATCAATGTTTGAAATATGAGATCCATATACAGTCATGTATAGCTACGTGAATCTCAGATGGACGATTTTGCCAGGAGATTGTGATTTAGTCACGGAAACTCTCCCGTTTGTAGTGTATAACAATTTCATTAATTCTCATTTTCTTGGGGCACTACTCAGAATTTATGATGAATAAGATATTATCATAGGTCCTTAAAAAAGAATAGACCCGCCCGAGTTATACACTTTGGGGTACTAAATAAAATTAAAGTCACTTTGTGTGTTGAAAGAAATGAGAAAGTTGTCCGGCACTAAACCACAGTTACATTACCGATTCACCCAATTTGAAATTCACACAAGTATAGTGATTCATTTTATTTTTTAAAAATCCATAACACTCTTGAGTGGTATTCCGGTAGCGCGTACTAAGTTAGCGCGTACTTAGTTAGTTCACACTTTTAAGGAGTGCCTGTTGCAAACTAATTTACCCTGTACAGATTATTTTAATCCTTCAATGAAAAGTGTCCAAAAAATTAATTTTGCAATGAAATGGGAAGAAAAAGATAATATGAGTACGAACTGAATTTCAACAAAGTCTTTGGTAGATTACCTTTGTCATGAATATTGAAGGAGGAAGATGAAACCTAGTATTCCATAGAAGTGTGAACTAAAATTCTTGTTTAGTCTGGACTTAGTCCCGGCTTAACTTATAAGAATACCACCCCTTATGTTTTGTCCCATTTCGTTATAATTTGCAGTAGTCTGCTTCTAGCTGACAGTTCTGATTTCTTTTAGATTTGCTTGGATTTCAAGGCCTCAGCTCTCTAGTTGGCGGATGGCGTTGGACACTACCAGCATCCCCCAAACAAAAATGTGGATACATGTGTAAATCTCATACATTTCAGTTGGTAAACTTGTTTTGGTCGCACACCCCCCCCCCCCCTTTTTTTTTTTAATATCAAGCTTGCTATAGTGGATTTCATTACCAGTCGTCTTGGAACTCGGAGGATTTTTCAAAATTTTTCTTTACCTCTAGGACACCATAACTGTTGGAATTACGTACACGTTTACATTGGCGATTCCCTCTCGGTCGTTGGTTTCCCGGTAAGAAAATGCAAATTTTGTCAACTTCATGTTTTCATAATACGTTTAATGTCATTCATTTCAACAAAATAAATATTCAGAATTGTATTTGTGAACTTATAAAGATATTGGTAAACGTTAAGAAGTGCATCGGCCGACCGGCGTCAACGGAGCCTTCCGAGGCCGAGTAAGGCTGAGCCGCAGTACAACTGTCAACTGCTTCGCCGGTACGACGGATGGCTGCCGACTGGGTGGCTGGCCTGCGTCACTGGGGCCGACATAAAAGCCACACACACAATAGCTGCATTACTATCCTGGCTAGCTGGCTGTGTATTAAAACCTGTTCTATTGATTCTCAACATTTGAAACACCACTGTACAACACTCAACTGATTTCAACTCAAAATCGGTTATTTAGTGACAATTGATCACACATAAATGGCAGTAAAATACAATTTTTTAAACTCACCGATGTTGTTAGAAAGAGTAATTTCAAAATTAAAATAGTGAGTCATCAACTGTAAAACTTGCTTACACTGCAGCCACATCAGCATAATTGTGTGCATTTGTGTGTTATTTGTGTGTTGACTATTCATGTGTGCAATTGCTGCCTATTAGAACGTAGTGGAGTGCAGCGCTAGAGGTCAATACACATTAGCATTGACTTGCTGGAGTGCATAAAAGCCAAGGTGGACGCGGGCGGCTACAATTTCATATAGTCTGCACATTTTGGCTATTAGTATTTGTAGTCTGGGAGGCTCTATATAAGAAAGCATAAGGTAACAGTTAGCAAACTTGAAGTTGTACTAGACGTACTTGTGATGGTTTGGGAAGTGCTGCCCAGGAAAGAAAGGTAGCTATTAGGCCTAGAAGAATCCCAATCAAGACAATATTCATGTGGATATGTTGATATGTCTCATTTTGTCTGTTTGTTTTCTTAGAGTTTCATCATTAGAGAGGGGTAAGTTATACCACCACCACCAGCAACCATGGGGGATCCATCAAGCTCACCATGGATGTCCAGAAAGTCTACCTTCTTGATTGCTCTCACTCTGGTAGCACTGATTGGGATTGTACAGTCGGAGGATTTCTATGAGTTACTTGGTATAGAGAGGGATGCAGATGCCAAGGATATCAGACGAGCCTTCAAACGTCTTGCTTTAACCATGCATCCGGATAAGAATCAGGTAAATTATCTCAAAGATGTCTACATCAAATCTTTTGTACCAAATAAGATATCTTTGCTGATTTACCTTGAATACCAAAGCGTCTGGAAGAAAGCCGTCTCCAGCTGCCAAGCTTCCACGTCTAACTTCAAGGGGGTGTGGGGGAGGTATGTCCCAGCTTCCGGGTCTTGCACCATAGGTTCCTCTTTGATCTGGTATAAGGGATGGAATGTTAGAACAGGTATTATTTTTTTTGGTCAAAAAGGACCCAATTCTGTACTTGGGTAGTGTACATTTTGATTTAGATTGTATAACTGCAAATCAAATTAAATGTTTTAGTGCAAGAGTAGAAAGAGCTAATATCACTTTTAGAGTCCATTTTCTTTCTGATGTTGTATTTGATTTTAATGCAATGTAACTCTTTATGTTTGGAAGTGTCAACACTTTTCAATGAAAGATGACTATCAATATTTACAAATTGTTGATTCCCCCAAACTATGTTGTGAAGATGAGTTCATTTTATTTCTTGTAAACCTGACAAAAGAACATCAATTTGTGTTCTTATAAATAGGATGATCCCAAGGCCCATGACAAATTTGTGCGCATCAATCGAGCGTATGAAGTGCTAAAGGACGACGATCTTAGAAAGAAGTATGATCGATTTGGTGAGGAAGGTTTGAAAGAACAGAATCAGCGATATAATAAATATGAAAGCTGGCAGTTCTACAAGACAGAATTTGGTAAGTGACTGATCAACCAATTTGATGTCTGTGTCTCAAATATGTACTTTTATGTGCCTGTAGTCATAGTGATTATGGAAAAAGTTCATCTCTTTACTCATAACAAAATATATCAAAACAGTGAATTCATTTTTTGGCAGCAGAGACAACGTTATTCATTATTCAGCAAATGCTTAGTTATTATTAAACTTATTAGAACAGGTCATATAAGGATCCCAAGATTTCTTTAAAAGTTTGTAAATCTGTATTATTGATTATGTTTTGATATAAATATTTTCTTTCTTTCTACAGGTTTATATGATGAGGACCCTGAGATTGTTACACTCAGCAAATCAGATTTTGGTGAGTTACATCAGATGTTTATCCATCAGAAGTTTTCTAGCAAGAGAGTGCTATAAGTGTGTTTGGAATTCACCCACGTACGCCCTTTTGCTGGGTCGATGACAATTATCTCTTCATCTTTGTTAGTGAGATTAATCTAATGCATGGAGGGAAACCACACCATTTAATTTTTTACCAAAGAAACACACCCCTCCCCTGCTTGAGCCTAAATGTATTATGGATAACGCATCATTTCTTGTCCTTCTACAAAGCTTTTACAAAGAATGTCTTGAAAGCCTTAGAATAATTAGGAAGTTGAATAGAGTATTTGTGAACTTAAGGAAAACAAAGAGAGTAATCAATATTTTTGTTTACATTAATTCAGAACAATCTGTGTTTGGAGAGGATATCTGGATTGTGAATTTCTACTCCCCAAGATGTCATCATTGCCATGATCTAGCTCCAGCTGTAAGTTCAAAACTCTTCAAGTTGGCAATTTTATATAACATCCTTAACCTCCTGTTACCTAATACAGACCCTTAAAACTAATTATATTTCTATTGACCTTTATTCTGTAGCTCCTCTGTCATCTCCAGACTACAATATGCCCCTCGATTTTGTCCTAGATCACAGTACAGTTTCGAGATCACCTTGGTCAAAAGTTTTAACTCTGCCCCTCAAGGCAGACAATACTTGTAGACCATTTCAAGAATAATAAGTTGATTTTGTAGGAATCAAAGTGAAAAAATGAATTCATTGTCAACTTAAAATTTATGTACTATATACATATAGATTTTGGCTATTAATACAAATTTTAGTAAATTCTTAAACCATCTTTCTTTTATTAATAGCTTTGAATTCTGATTTAGAACTGTTTTGTTTTATCATAGTCACTTTCATTTATTTTGTATAGACTTTGCAATGCTTTCACATTATGTCTACAATCAATGTACAGACCATCCCTCATTTTAGCATTCTCTCAAAACAAGTCATGTTTACATTTTTCATTTGGACATTCTCTCAAAACAAATCATGTTTATGTTTTAGTGCGTGATAACACTAAGAGATCAAATCACTTGTGCAGGATCGGAGTCTATCTGTATGCTGAATATACATGTCAAAGGAGAGCAAATACAAATTGAATGAGTGTGTGCATTAAAGCACCAAGTCAAGTTGATGCATGAATGATTTTACAAAAAGACTCTATGATAGAGTATTAACTGTCTCTTGACCGAGGAATGATATAATTTCAAAACGTTTTGGTATTATATATATATTTTTTTTAAAGAACAAAGCAGAAGGCAGTGGTACTTCAAGATGCCTTATTAACTTTCCCCATCTCTCTTTCTTTCTCATATTCTTCAAATGCTTTTATATGTAGCCTGTGTTATAATGTTCATTATTTGATAACTCTATTTATGTTATAGTTAAAGATTTTCATGCGTGGGTATATAGTCGTTCATAAAGTAGGCAACTTGGCGATCACTACATAACACTGAGCCAGCGGATATTACTCTCCTGTGTGTACGTACGTGTGCTGCCCTCTATATACCCATGCATGAGCAACTTTAACATACAATATGTAGGTTGACTGTGTTACTATCCCATCGCTTTCTCCCTCTCTTTTGTTTCTATATCTGTTGTAGTGGAGAGAGTTTGCGAAGGAGGTAGAGGGAGTGATCCGCGTAGGAGCAGTGAACTGTTGGGATGATCGCCCTCTATGTACAGCTCAGAATGTGAAGAGATTCCCTACGCTGTTTGTCTACCCAAAGGTAAGGATTACAGTTGTCAAGTAATGTCCTGCGCTTATTTTTATGTGACTAACAGTACTCAATAGATAATTAAAATAAATTCTGAAATGCCACCAATGACTATTCTTTGATGCTCTCAAGAGTGAATATATTATAGGCCGAAATACTGTCAAGAATATAGGCCTAGATGCTACAGATAGTATAATAAATGTATGTACTGGCTCAAAGTGTAATAACACATTTGATGACTTGCTAATGAACCTGATATTAGCATATTGGATTCTATTTTCAGACAATATCATGAACTAGGTAAATAATCTTACAATGGGTCATTAAATGCTATTTTTCAATGTGTATAAAGGCCTGTAATATCACAGAAATTTTAAAGAAGAGTGCAGTGTTTGTGAAATTCACTAAGTGAGATGATATAATTGCATGTAGACCATTGATATTATGTTTGGCTGTGGAGTAGGAAAGAAGCTCTTACCTTTTTGTGGCATATAGAAAAGAAAAAAGGACCTGTTCACAAGGATTGTGGGCCAAGTTTGGTGAAGTTTTCTCTTTACCTGTTTTAAAATATTATCACGAACACCAAATATCCAATTGGTTAATGTGGTCGAACTGGCCATCGTAATAGAAACCTCATTGAATTATATGCCGTTGTTGCTTTTACTTAATACAAGATCATTCTCAGCTCACTGACCCAAGATGTAATTTGATATATTATATTGTTCCTTCTCATGATTATTTCCTTTCTAACGCGCATTTCTCTTTCCTTATCTTCTTCTCAACCCCACATGCAGCTCATCTTTTAGTATTATTTTCTGTACCCTTGATCTCTCACTTCTTTTTGTCATTGTCTACTCTTTGTATTATGACCGTGTTCTTCTATCTTTGTCGTGTATAGTATTGTCTTGTGCCTTTCTCGTCTCTGTTGGCATTCCCCCCTTTTTCCCCCCTATTTTGTAGTTTTTTTTGTAGTTATAGATTAGTTAATTTAATTACTCATTATTCCTAAGCTTCATTTGAGGTGTTCACACTTGTACAAGCATTGCTTTTTAGTGGACCCCTCTGTTTCCAACATGTATTTCTTAAATTTGTTTTAAATGCTTATAATTGATTTGTAATGTTTTGTTGGAAACATGAATAAATTTGAAATCTTGAAAATCTTGACCATTGCTTCATGTTTTCTCTATGTTTAGCATGAGGAGTACACCGGGACGAGGTCACTAGAACCATTAGTCAAGTTTGCTCTTAATCTTGTTGATGTGACCATCCATCCACTGTGGATAGGTGAGTGACCAGTCCAATCAATCTAGTTTATGTTAAAATACTTTTCAGTCTCAGAATTTATCACATATCCAATCCAAAAGAGGAACATATTTGGAAGATATTTCCATGCTATTGTGACTGTTGTCATAGATACGGTACCCCCTTTCCTTTTGAGTTATCAAAACTGTTTGCTCTCTTCGACATATAACCATAAATATTTTAAATTCAAATCTGGCTTCTCCCATGCAGTTGATTAGTTTATGGTATGCTAGTTGACTGGTGTAGTAATATGTACCTCATAATGCTAGGATGTGAGAATTCAAACATCTGTCAAAAGAAATTTGAGAAAAGAAGTATTTACATAGACTGTTTGACAATGGTCAATAATTTACACCCATGCACTTGCTTTGACATAAGTATATGATGACCAAAGTTATTATGTACAATCATTATTGTACAGTCAGATTTTTAGGAAAGATATCAGCAAACATAACATCTTCCTGAATATTTCAGAACATAAGAGGATATTAAAAAATTAAAAAATATTGTACAAAGCAATACATTGCAGATAAAAGTGTGGTGTTACTATATGAATATTGATTTTGCAACAGGGCAGAATGCATATGATATGGAAAATATATTTTTTTGTTTCATGTAATTTTGAGAAGACAATTGTTGCAGATTTATGATATTGTTTATTGATGTATTACTTTGTTGATACAGGTAACTTTAAGAAGGTTCTGTTAGCTGATGAAGCTAAAAATCATCCCTGGTTGATCTCATACTGTGGCTCTCCTGTAGGTAAGCTCTCTTCATACATGTATGGTAAGCCTTGTTCATACATGTGTGGTTTTCAAATCAATATTCTTACAGCTTCATCGTTGCTTGGATGCCTTAATCTGTTCTCAGAGACATAACATGTACAGTGTGAGCTTTAGTTGCATTAGAACCTTTCTCTTGAAGCTTTTGAGCAAGAGAATGCTCTTTAAATTATCATATGTGTATTCAATCAATTTTGTGAATCATTTAAATTAATAAATTGAGCTGTCATTGATTTTCATTAATTTTACAGCATGCGCATTTCTGCTATCAAAGTATAATTTTGATAGGATTTCTCTGAAAGGCACACTTCAACTATTTTACTTTGGAATGGAATATAAATGTACTACAGCAGAAAATGCCAACCTAATGGGGTTATAATTTGTCTAAATATTTGTAGGAATATAACATCATACATTTCTTTAATGTTTGTTTTACTCCTCAGGAACTGAAGATGAAGATACGCATGATATGGCCAGTGTGGGTTGTTTAGATAGAGATGATCAACTCAAATTAGCAGCCATCTTGGTAAGTGTTGAATTATGAATATTGTAACTCTTTTGAATAAAAAGATTAGTTTGAAACAAAAATCGTTTCATAGTGTAGTAGACAAGTGAAATGGAATTTCATTACTGCTTACATTTTTCTGATCCATACATGTGGTCTCCAATTGATAAATGATTATTATATGGACGCTCTCTTGTTCATGTACAAACAACATTAAAATTATGCTCCTTTTTGGTTCAATTTGTATTGCTGCATTGTTTCGATGTCCATGTGTTTTCAGCCTCTCCTTTGTGTTTTGTGTTTTATGCACAGAATAAGGTAGTGAGTGTTGGGTCAGTAGACTGCTCAGCATCATCCCAGCTCTGTACCAAGCTCAAGATTGAAGAGTCTACAATACGCTTCTATAACAAGGCTAAAGAAGTCACCAAGGGAGGAAAGGTAGGATCAAGAATCTCTTTCTCTGGGATGTGTATCATCATCATTGGTTGTTTTGTGTGTATTCTAGTCCAATAAGATTTTGGTGAGAAATTGAATAATTATGTTACCTCTTTTGTGCTTAATTCTTTTAAATGTATCATTATTTTTTTTCTATTTCATATCCTTAGGCATTGAGATGAAGTTGTTGTTAAATATTATTAAGTAAATCTTGTCTTGAAAAACTAGTAGGTTAAAGGTAATACAAAGTTTTGGGAAATCTTGAAAATTGGCTGGATAGTGATTATTTTCAATTTTGATATATTTGGATGCCCCTGTGGATGTATTATAAGCTCTAGAAAATTTAGCCCCTAAAACACTTCTGATTTTGAGATAAATTGAATATAGAAATTTACTGGTGCTCCCGGTATATTTTGATGAATTTCAAATAGCGCCTACGGCCATACAATGGTAGCTGCGACCATGAAAATCTCAGAATATGTAGTTGTGATATATAATTTCCAAACGGTAATAGCCAATCGGTCGATTTGGGTCAAGAAACATTGTTTTATAGCTAAATTAATATATTGACCTTGAGAGGGAGCTATACAACATAAACAGTTTATTATTACTATTTCATCACTTTACACTCGATTTCAATCACGCCAATGATCACTGAATATTGTACGATCGCATATGCTTTCAATATGTTCATTAAAACCAAATTCATGATCCCATACCAAAACTTTGTATTACCTTTAAGATCCTGTAATACATATTCCAAAGATACATCTTGGGTTGACATTTAGATCCATTTAAGTGAGTTTTTTCTGTATATACTACTGTACATTCTAGAAATGTTCCCTTCTTTTGCCTTTTTTTCTCCATCCTATCGTTTTGTTTGATTCTGATAGGAACTGGAGCTTGAGCAACCTAAGCAGATGGCAGATGAGATTCTCAAACAACTACCAGATCTCTCTTCATTCACAAGTGCTGAATTACAGGTTTGTATTTGGCTCTTTTTAATTAAAATATGTAACATTAAAATAAGGTTTTAACTAACTGTGGGCTCTTACTTGAGCATGTACTGTATGACAGTTGAATGAGACAAATTAAGAGTTGAATGAGACAAATTAAGAGTAGAAGGATTATGTTTTTGTGACCTTTCATTGGAAAGGAAGCCAATCATTTCATATGCATGATAATGTTTTTTTTTTTAAAGAACACACATCATTTGGGTACAAAGTGTCTGCAGATCGTTGGATACATGTACATGTACATTCTTTGCTATCTTACCCATATATTTATTTATTCACATTTTTTATCAAATCTTAAATTTAATTGTTGATGATTATTCCATTGAGATACTACTCTTTGTCAGCTTGTAGCAAGTATATCATTCAGCAGCTAAAACAGTTATACTTTAAAATATACACTCTCTCACAGGAAGCAAGGCAAGCCCTTGAGGTCGGTGGTGAAGCCCCTCCAGTGGTGACCTACTTCATGAAGAAGGCTGGAGATGATGACCTTGAACTCAAGAAACTCCCTCATCTCCTAACAGATATGAAGGTAAGATCTTCTTATAGTGATGACATTACTTTCTAAGTTATCAGGGGGGGGGGGGGGGGCTAGCTCATGGTAAAGAAAACGTATACACTTTATGCTTTCATGTCTAACTATTGCGTGCCGATCTTTTCGAAGAGTCTTTTTTTACTTTTCTTCACTAATACTTTCATGTAGAAGAAGTATACCAGTTTCAGGTTTAGTAACAATATTTGTTAAATTGATATCTTTACTCTTGAAGTGATAAATCGAAATCGCTATTAATTTTTTTATTCCTAGACCCATGTATGCATACTTTTGTTTGTATTTCTTCATTATATTTATTCAGCAATTTGTTGTTCTAATAATAGTAATGCTGAGCTGGAGTACATGAGTGCTTCTGTTACCTACTATCAACAACTTGAAATAACTGCTATCTGACAATTTTCACAAAATACTTTATCAATGAAAGAGCATTACATCTTGTTATCTTTGCCCAACTCTGAACACATTTAAAAAGAGATACAAACAATTACGTTTTTTGTGAATTGCATGTTATTAGATGTGTATCAGGTTTTAAGCGTTAGGTGTAAGGTGTAAGGTGTTAAGTGTTATAGGTTAAAATTCTTTATTATGTCGCAAGGGACCAGCACCACATCATTGTTCTTTCTTGCCGGTTTCTCATTCGTATATATATTTGTATTTTATGGTAATCTTTCGTAAATGTTATTTGTATGTTCTTTACTTATCTGTAAATATCAATGTAATAATTATGTATGTTTTTATATGACGAATGGAATAAAAATGGATTGAATTGTATATTTTCATATTTGTAAACATGTAGGGTAATTTCCCCAATATTAGAGGAATAGGCAAACGATCTCTTCTCGTCCCTTCCAACTTTTTTAAGCCTTTTTAAGCCTTTTTATGCCTTCCTTCTCTCTCTGATCTTGCCAGGTGAGGAAGTTCAATTGCAGTACAGACCAAGCTCTCTGTGACGATCTCTACCTTGGCACACATCTGCCAAAGGTGGCGCTTTTCAGGAAAGGAGGAGGCCATGAGTTTCACCATGGTAAGCTAGCCACCCTCACATGATACTGATATTAATCATTTATTGTGTTGAATGACTGCTAATAGCACTACTATGACTTCTTCATAACATTTCTATTAGGTATTGACTTGGTTATAAAATTGAAAAAATGATTTTAAAAATAGATTTTGTTAAGCATGTTTTCTGGACAGTATTGTGCACCTGATGTCATTACCCTAGCTTCAGCTTTAGTGGAGATTCCATGAGGAGATGCTCACAGCATTAAGAATTTGTTCCTACAAGGCTATCATTAACTAGACCTGGGTAAATTATGGTGGCACATGTTAACTATTTCCTTGCCTAAGGACATCGGTGCTGTTTTCAGGAAGAAACTTGGATTTTGTTCAATTTCCACTTCTCCACTAGACCTATGTACTTGCATACCACTTAGGAATGAGCTTTTATCTCATTCTAAAGACGTTCAACTTGATGTATTTTCTTGCAGGACGTTTGTTTGCGCAGGATATAGCAGCCTTTGCCAGACATGGTCTAACTTCTCGTCTACGAGTTCTTGGTCCTAAGGACTTCCCTGACCCAGTCATTAACAGTGGAGAGCTTTGGTTTGTGGACTTCTTCTCACCGGTAAGTCCAGAGGGGGTGTTTCACAAAGATTCTAAGTTGAACTTATCTCTAAGTTGGACTTAACAATAGTGGAAAGCTGTTAGCATCTTTGAAAATATTTTGTAAAAGCTGTTTTAAAAGGCATAAAATGTTGATTCAAATCATCCATATTTTCTATTATTAAGGAAATTTCATGTTCTTGATGTGGAATTTAAAAAAATAAGTCTAAAATACTTGATTTTTCGCTTTTGAATACATTTTATTTTAAGGCTACAAATGGCCCTCCATAATTTTTAAGTTCAACTTAGAGTTAAGTTCGACTTAGGATCTTTGTGAAACACACCCCTGGTCTCTTGGTTTCAAGGCAAAATATGCCTTTCACTGTTATCATTCTGGGACATGCTTCCTGCACTGAAGATATCTCCTAGGCAGGATGGAAAGACATGCAAAATACCTTCATAATTTGTATATTCCTATCCATAAACAGTTCTTTGTGAGTTTGTACTTTGGAAGAAATTTGTACAGCTTTAAATCTTTCACCTACTAATCATAATTCATATTCAGTTAATGTACACACCAGTTTTTCTTTTTTTATTTTGTTGTAGCATTGCCCTCCATGTAAACAGTTACTCCCTGAGGTTCGTAAAGCAGCGTCTCGTGTGCCTTACGTCAACTTTGGAACGGTAGACTGCACCACTCATCAGGCTTTATGCAGTCAGCAGAACATCAGGTCTTATCCTACGACAGTCTTCTTCAATGATTCTAAACCTCATGTTAGCGTGGGATTCTCAAATTCACATGCTATTCAAGAATTTATTGAGGTACATTGTATATCGCATTTTAATGCTTAAGATCTACATTTAACAACTACATTATTCATACCCTTATATTACCAAGTTTTGTCATTTTTTAAAGTATGTGAAAAATTGATTTGTCTCGAGAATGTGACATATTAAAGCTTACTTTTAAAAGTGTTCAGCAAAGTTCCTGATTCAATCAGTCCACCTTTTACCCATGAGTTACAAAAAACACAAAAATATCATATTTACAAGTGATGTGAATAATTCAGTTGTTAACTATATTTAATATGATATCCAAGGGAACACTTGTATTAGAAACTTGTACTTGTACAAATAGTATTTGCCATATTCAGACTTACTTCCCAACACTTTTGTTCAAAATGTCAACTGTGAGTACAGATTGCCAATAATAAACACTTTTGATTGTTGTCTTTACTTTTAGAATTTTATGTCATGGTAGAGAACATGATATCATGGGATGGGATAACATGTCCTTCCATAGCAGAACATTTAGGTGTGATGAGATGAAGCGGACTCATTTTATCCCGTCTTCCTGGGCATTCTTTCACAAATCCGTCCAAGTACAAGTCCACCAAAATCCCATTGAATCATGTGTTAAATGTAATACACGCACTTCAATGCAATATCAGTGAACTTGTACTTACGATGGTTTTGTGAAAAGCTGCTCAGGTTGCCTTCTCAAACTGATTGCATGCAACTCTTCTTCATGTATCTCATTTGAACCTTCCCTCTTATTCATCTCAGGACACACTCAACCCCAAAGTGATAACCCTCTCTCAAGACCTGTTTGATAGCTTGGTTAAGAACCGAGCCAAGGGTGATCTCTGGTTGGTTGACTTCTATGCACCTTGGTGTGGACCGTGTCAAGCTCTTATGCCAGAATGGAGAAAGTTTGCCAAAGTGAGTTCTGTTACAGCTTCTAATTTCATCTTTGACATCGCCTTATCCAAAATAATATTTGCAAGGACTCAAATGGTATTAAATTTTGCCTTATCAGGGAACTCTAGTTCTGATATCTGATTTCTGTTTGATTTTTATTACTATGAAATATGCATTTGCAAGTTGTTTTATGCAATCCAATAAAAAATGAAGATATTATCATTTACTTCATTGTTTATTTGTTCACAGTATAGATTACTTTTTTGGTTATTGTATGATTTGCATTGAGAAATTTTTATGACAATATTAATTTGAAGTTCTAAACTATTCTCATGATAAACAAACAGTCTATATACACGTATGGGTGATATATGTGCATCCTTTCATAAAATGGAAGGACGTTGTGATGTACATGTATTGTGATTATCTCATGTCAGTATAACAAAGGTTATCTGGATTGCTATTTGTGTGAATGCAATATTCAAATAATTTGAGCTTTGTTTATATCCCCATCTCAGAAACTGAATGGTACAGCTCATGTAGGTTCAGTAGACTGTGTAGAGCACTCGTCACTGTGTGTGCAGCTTGGTGTTAATAGCTACCCTACGATCAGAGCTTATCCTATGGGGCGTACAGGCGCAGGTGGATTCAGGTATTAATCACAGACCATGTCAAAGATCAGAATGATCAATAAATGTTGTGTATGGAAGCATTCTTCTTCTTTGAGTTAGAAAATGTTGAACTAAGCTGTTGAAATACAGAAACAAATGTACAATCTGTAATATTTTGGATTTTACATATATGAATACTCCCAAATTAAATTTCTTGAATTGCCAAATAACTCAAGAAAGTCTTTCTCGTAAAATTTATTTGATTTTCATAAATAAGTTTAAGCAATAATCAATTAATATTTTTTTCACTCATTAATTTGTGAAGCTTGATTGTTAAGATTGATGGTAGAATTATTGTGATAATGGTACCATTTAGACCAGTTTGGCTTTCAGGGTGGGTGTTCATAGACATAGTCATTATGTATGCTTCATCTAGTCAAACTTTGTGACCAGAGAATGGCAGGTTTAAAGGTATAGACGAGTTTTGAAAATGCCCTTCTCTCAAAAAATGAAATGGAAGCTCTTATTACCAATCATGTGAAAGAATAAGTTTTGCCTAATACGTGATGATATAAATTTTGCCGGGAAACCACCTACTAATTGATATATTCGGTAAATTATAATATCTATCCGGACTGGCTAGATATCGCGTGGTTCCATATACATCTTTCTGTGTACAGTGCTTGTAACTTTACCAAGACTGGGCCAAATTTCTTATCATTTTGATGATTCCAGAACCTTGCAGTACACCAATACTTATATGCTAGATGATCAACCTTTTCTGATCGATTCCACAATGTTTCTTTCACAATGCAATCGCATGACCAGAACTGGTTTTTACTTAAAATTTCATGACAAAATAATCTAAAAATAACTTCCCCTGTTCTCCCCAGTGCATACCAAGGCTGGAACCGTGATGTGATGGCTCTGATGGGATGGGTACAGAACTTTCTCCCTACCTCCGTTGAGATCATCACCCAGGGTAACTTCCGAGACCTAGTACTCCGGAGCACTGATCCATGGGTGGTAGACTTCTATGCTCCTTGGTGTGGGCCCTGTATGGCATACATGCCTTCACTTGAAGAAGTGGCAAAGGTAGGAACAATGCTTCTTGTACAGGTATACTCACATTTAAATTTTAATGGACTGCAATCCTTCATGACTTTCTAGGTGTGAATGTACTCTGTAACACTAGAGCTTTCGCATTTATGAACCGGTGGCATGTTTTTGCAAGTGGTTTAGATTTTTGGAAGTTCATGCAGAAAAATACTTGATCAAAACTGACATTAAACAAATTTGTGTGATTTGCAATAGTTTCTATGTGTGAAAAGGGCTGTTATGTACAATTCATGAAATATAGATCTGTTGCAAAAGTCTTTGGTTTTATAGTACAGATAGTGATTTTTTGTTGTTTTTGGTACCAATATCTGCATACTGTAATTGAAGAATATGACTCTCTAAATGGCATGCATGTTGTACAAACCTTCATGTGAAATCAAATGTGATGTTAATTCCCTCTCTATGATACATGTAGTATTGCAGAAACATGTTTCTCATTTCTTTTATTGTTGATGTGAATATTAAGAGTTATTTTTTTCCTGATATCCATCAAACAATAAAAAGGAAATTTTCATTCTCCCCCACAAACTCAATCAGAAGATAAAGAAGAAATGATGGTTGATGATAAAGCAAAAGTAAGCAGGGTTTCTTCGTAATGTCATTATGTTCAATCCTGATCTTGACCGTCAGTGTTGGTCAAACAGTTGTTGAGTAATGCCTGGCTGGAATGCTCCCCAGGGAGTGGAGATTGTGCACACAGTGTGTGCGGGCAAGCAGTGAATCCATTGACCGGGGTAATAGTATATTTGTAAAGCGCTTAGAGACATTGTATTAAGCGCTATATAAAAGCTAAATATTATTATTATTATTACAGGCTTTGAAAGGTTACGTGCGGGTTGGTAAGATTAACTGTCAGTCCTACCAATCTACCTGTGGGCAAGCATCTATACAAAGCTATCCCTCACTCAGAATATACAAAGGAACAGAAACTAAAGGATATTCACAAGTAAGTATCAAGACTTTGATAGCATTCTTTTAGTTTTAATAATAGATCATATGCAAGACTTTGGTGTGATGTTGATTATTTTTCTTTTCATATTTGGAGTGGAAATATTTCAAAATAAGAATAAGAACAGCTCAGACCATCATTCTTGTGATAGGTAAAGTTATAAATGAAAGAAATCATCACTTGAGATTTATCTAGTAGCATATACTTGCATGTGGAAGAATATTGTTGCAATGAAATGGTTAAGGTTTGCTTCAAAAACTCTAAAATGCTCAATTTCATATTTCATGATATCATTTTGGTTTTGTTTTCTAATGTCTACTCTTTGGTTTTATTTTCCATCCACAGAATTGGTTCGGTGAACAAGTTTATCAGAAGGAACCACAGTATCTTATTCCATACCTCAAGCAGAAATTTACTAAAAATTTAGAAGTAAGTACAATAATAATATTTCTTGTTTAACCAGCGTAGTCTCATCAGTATTAATACTGTTTTTCCTGAGGGTATTACCCCAGCATTATGAAGTTATGAAATAAGTAATCTAGGTTATCATATAGACTCACTAGTTTGCTAAGTGTATAGGTTACTCACTTCTACTGACCATTCTTGTTTTATGATGTTATAACAGAACCAAGTTGAAATAGTGTGTGGAAAGTAACCTGACATGCTATCGTGCTCTAGAGATAATAATGATTTGGTTAATAGTTTGAATGCATACTCATTGTGATGAAAAACGGATCATGGATATTTTTAATGGAATTGATGACATGTTAGACATTATACACGCCATTCTTTTGAATATCAAATTATGAAATTTGATAAAAATCTTTCTATATGTAAGAGCTGAAATCACTTTTAATTTCCCTTTCGATTTCTCATTAAACACTAATATTTTCTTTTTTCATTTTCTTTTCATTTTTTAGAGTACTGGTCAGATAAAGGATGAGCTTTAATGTCACATCTTCTCAAGATAAAGCCTTTCCACAACTATGATGCTTTCACCAATGGCTGAGAGAGATAGAATATATTTCTTTTTATACATCTATTAGAAACCCAGGAACTGTTATTTATTATCATCCATTGGTATACCGGTACTGTATCTACTTAAAACTGATGTATTTGGAATGTTTGCGATTGTATTCTAGATGATATTTACATAATGTATTTATAAATACATAATAAGCTGTGCCTGCAAGTGAGCAAGATGTTCAATATATTTTTTGTAGTATACCGTTTGTGAAGAGAGAAAATATATATATTATTTGCAAGCATCAAGTATCTCCTTGTCTGACTGACTGGCAGATATTGTGATGTATACATTAGTGATAAGACCTACATGATTCACACTGTAAAGTGCACAAAACGTAGTAATGGTATTGATATAGCTGAAAGTAATAATTACATGCAAGGAAGTCTTTCATTCTGTTTCAGAATCTTTAAGGTTGATAATCCAGCGAGGTGCTTTATAGCTCATGTGGTAAGTGAAGTATATGCAATGGGCTTGCATTGATTGATATTTATTGAATTAAAAACGATGTGCACATATATCTTGTACTTGAAAGAGAGGAGAAATGTTCTTGATTGTTGAAATGATATCACATTAAGACCACTATGGGCATGGAAGTGATAGAAAGAAAGAATTTCTTTCACTATGTTCTATATTTTAGAGAGCGATTGTTCTTGGTAATCATTCACAATGTTCTGGATTCTGTCAAAATGGTTTTACTCTACTGGATTTTAATTTAGGGTATTAATTTGTTTTTATTGTTGTTTTACTATAGATTTTAAAATGTTGTGGTATCATTTATTTCCTAGTACCTTGATCACAGTTGTACTTAATTTGGACTTGATGACAAACCCTGCCAAGTCTTTCCTAAACACATCGTTACTAGAGATTCTTAGAAGGACTTTGCACGGTTGACAAACTACTGATGATTATAATTAGAGTTCTTCCACTCTAGAAAATATTAGATATATTATGTTTATAACTTTATATGGACGAAACTGATTTGTCAGCATGTGTGTTTATTGGTTTTATGTAGGGACTCAAAATGTTTTAAAGTGAATGACTGTAATATTGCTCGGTATGCCAGCTGTATATACCATAAATAGAGTTTATAGATAAACTTGAGTTCTAGTAAATATAGAAAATAATTTTTCACAGATTCCAACAAAACTTACTCTGAATGTGGGAAGATTATAAACAAATGACTTGTGCAACAAATTTAGGTAGAAAATCTAAAGTGGCTGAGTAATGAGCATAGAAAGATAAGGAAATCCGGGCGAGTAGACCCGACACCATTAAACACAGGTCACTATGTGCAAATGGGAGTTGTGGTTTTTATCGAAGATGATGCTCATTAAGTTTTAGTGTATTTGTTTTTATTTTACTGGTTTAAACAACCAATCTACTGCAGGATAAACAATTCAGAATAAATTGTAGCAATTTTCAATCAAAATACGATTCCCATACCAGAGCTCAAGATTAGCTTTAATGAACCTTGTAGATAACATTGTTTGATTTAATACAATTCAAGCGATTGTCATATAACTTTAGAACTTCAAAAGTTTGTTGCATGGTGATTTGGGACAAGGGCAAAATGATGAACTAATTCCTTAGCAAAGTACCTGTTAGAAATTCTCTGATCAAATTTCCTCATCAACATTTGATGCAGTTCATCTTGTAATTTTTTGTTCTTTTCATACAAATGGAAATTCGAATTACATATTTTGAAAGTGCCTTTGTCAAAATGTTTATGTTTGTTGCAAATTCATATTTTTAATTAAATGTCAACAGTAATTCCTATTTCTCTACAACTCAAATGCTGAACATAATATGATATTTGACACATGCTTCAGGTGTGCACATGTTATATTTATTTATATTTAGCCTTGTTGTCCTGTATATATGTTATTCATTTATGCATTACATCAATCAATGTATCTTATAAAACAATGAATTCAGTATGTGATTTTTTTTAATAGTGCAGGATCAATGTTCATTGGAATGTTTGGAAGGGCTTTGTAATGATTCTGGTCTAGATTTGTATAGATAATTTAAGTGTAGACCATTCGGACATAAAGACTGTGGTCACCACTGTTCTAACACCTACGATGATTCTTGAGATGAAAAGAATTATAATCAATATAACCCTTAAATGAAAACATAACAACAAAACGACCCCCCTCACAAAAAAAAAAAAAAATTAATTGATACTTAGAATTATCATTTTCAAAGTCGTTCAGCATGAGTAAATATGATTGAATAAGCGCCTTGAGCATTTAATTAAAATGGATAATGGCGCTATATGAATCTCATGTATTATTATTATTATTATGAATAATGCAGTATTCGTTCGACTGTGTGGTTGCTAAAGTCTGGGTGTATAAATTATATTTTAGTGCTTTTGTATATCAGAAAGTTTGAAATATTAATTGACTGTTGGCAATAACAAGGTTTTATGTGAATATTTTCCTTATAATTAATTCCATTGTTCCCAATATGTAATTTTAATGTGACTTTCTGTAAGGCTATTAGAGGCTGATATTTTGTACCTCGGTTCTCTGTCAATCGTTGTTGCATGTTTATTCATAATAAAACAATCTTCTTTATGGCATTTTCTTGCTTCTTTATCATTTTGTTCAGAGCACAGAGCAAAGAGAAAAGAGAAAAGGAGTATAAGAGAACAAATATTTTCATTTGGAAAAACACAAACAAATCAGTCTTAAAAACTTGATTGTATTCCCATTCTGACACCATTTATTTCAAAGTGTTTTTGTTTCTTTATATATTACATTATCATCTACTAACCATTATATATACACAAATGCATGATATATCTCTTGATTCTTCTTTGATAATACAAAAGGCATTATTGTTAATAACACCAACATTCCATATCTACAATTTAACAAATAAAAACAAGATTACATCAAATTAGAAGAACATATATATTTTTTTTGTTTTGCACTATGCAGCAGATTACACACACACAGACTAATACAATGTGAGAAAAACAAACTAAAGAAAACAGCAATAGCATAAGAAAAGTGCGGTAAACATTTAACAGTCACCAATACAGATAAAAACGGACAGGGCTACAAGCTATAAAGGGTATCCTCGTACTTTTTTATCTCTGGGAACTAAAAAAAACCCCAAAGCAATGGTTATCTGTTGTGTTCATGATTCAGAGTGTCACTGCTAGAAGCAAAGACTACGCATACAAATGAATGTATGTAACTTTGTGCTGTTCTGAACTGTGTAAGGAGTAGGCTATGCCTGTCAGCCTTTACTACACATAAAGCTCTAGGTTTGATTCTCATCGCCCATTCAAGTTGTAATGATGCAGGCAACTTAAGTAGGTCATGTGCGTAACTAACACTTAGCAAATGTTTGTGACATTGACACTGATTTTGATCAGAAATGCCCCAATGAGTATAAAATTAATCACGAAGCAATAAGCAGTGGATTCAAATTTAATTTGATTAATTCTTACTAGAAAACATTCGCATGCGCAAGTAAAAGCCTTATAAATGTGTGTAAAAAACCAAGGCCTCTTTTGTTGATTGTTACCATTTCATACAAATGTACAATTATCTAGACTAAACCCACAGTTTTATATATCAATAGATGAACATTGAGTTAAGGTCAGACTAAGTGTGACATTGACATGACAATCTTCCCCATAACATCAAGAGTGTATCAAGGATTGAATTTAATGTGAAATAGTGAATTAAAAATATCTATCTCTTTCACACTCTCTCTCTATCTCTCACTTGCCCACTTACGTTTATTACTGTCTTTTGTATCACATTGAATATTTGGCAAATTGTATGAAAGTAGACAGAAACATAACTAGGAATGCCTGACAAGCAAATAACACATTTAAAAAAAATGCATCAACAATTCCGCTATCAAGTTTATAAAAAACATTGATTGTCATATGTTTACCAGTTTCAAACTGATTAATGTTTGGGTTGTATGCATAGACTGTTCTTGATATTAGTCTCCTAAATGACACTTGGTAAATTATATGATTGGTCGAAAAGAGTGGGAAAGGAAGATGAAGGTTTCAAAGAATGAAAGATGAAAGAAAAAGTAGAAGATGGAGAATAACAATTCTTAATAAATTTTCATCTACTCATGATGATATAAAATTAGTCCTATGAATTATACATAATAGAAAAAAGATGAATTGTATTTAGACATGAAACCATTATTGTGATGACATAATGTGATATAACAAGGTTGCATAAGCTTCTAGAAGTATTCTCTTCAAAATGCAAGATCTCTATCCGAACATGTGAAAGACATGAATAGATGACATAAGTATAAACACAGACACATTTAATTCCATTGGCATCTCATGCCCCTAACATTCAATGCTACATTTAATTGATAAAGAAAATCACTTACTTACAAGTATTCTTGGAATTACTTGAATGATGGTTTCATCTGCATACATAATACTAGGAATATGAATTTATTATGGGAATGTCAATAATATCTGATTCCAAATTTTAAATACATTTGTTTCCCATCTGTTATTCTTGTTTAATATTTGATCAACAGAAATATACATACATTGAATCTCATAACAATTAAAAGTAAATAAAATTAATAACACATTCAAGTAAAATGAGCAAAATGAAAATACAAAGATAAAATTCATACAGCCATATTCATAAACATTAAGTTATATTCTTTCTCACATAAGCAGTCAGATAATGGATAAAAAGTTACAAACTCATCTTACAAAGCATATGGTTTTTGTTACATTTCTTGAGAATTAAAAAAATTACAAAATGATTTTGAGTAAATGCATGATTATTTATTACCTGTAAATAAAGTTTTTAAGTACTGAAATAATCTTTCCCATCATTGGCACTAGGTCTAAATAGGCTACAGGAAATAGAACATATCCCTTCAGGTTAGGAGGGAAATGGAGGAAAAACAGATGCAGAATAGCTCTAAAAGTACACCACTATTATACCCATTTAAGATGATTGCTTGATAAAGGTGCATTATTTGAATTACGTTTACAGCTTGATAATAAAGTCTATGAAAGTCAAGTCTACAGAGTAATATTGTATCATTGTGACTTTTAATATCATTAATATCACATTTGCTGGTGACAGCATAGACAATGGTTGCTTTATACAAAATATAGTTTTCATCTATTTTTTCTCATGAGCAATACAATGACCAATTTAATTTACAAGATTATTCGAGGTATATTTTCCTTTATGATTTTTTTTTCTTCTTCTAAATACATTTCGGCATATAAAAACATGGGCCAGAGTACCAATCTGCTTAAATACACATTTATAAATTCTCTTTTTAAATGCTATACAAAATCTGGAAGAAAAGTGACATTTTATTTTCGTAGGAGACCCCTCATTCCATCACCATAGAAACAGGTTGGCAGACATCACACAAAGATAAGAAGCATAAGGATATATTAATTTCTTCATTACAAAAACATTCTGATTTTGGAAATTAAGGGGACTATTTTTATAAGAGCATCATTTCAAACTCCTATAAATATCAATATTTCAGCTCATTTATTTGTTTTTGTCATAAAATATTTCCAAATGGAAATTCATGATACTTTGACAGGTGACATACACCCTTATGCTACTTACCTTTTTGTTCTAGAAGATGGAGATCATTAGATCACATTCTACTTCAGAGCAAAACAGTCTCTTGAACCGATAAAGATTTATGAGAATTCTAAAGCATGGAGTACTATGTGAAGAAATAATCATAGCAAAGACTTTGGGTGCCTGCTGCATGCATGTATTGCTAAAACTCAAATTGTTTGGCACCTGTGGAATAACATTCTATCTAAGGAACTGTTCAGGAACATAGTTTCTGAACAGATTTATGACAAAAAATGAGTTCTTGGCGGCATGTTTGTGGTTCCCATCCAACCTCTTCATCCTCCCTGCAAAGCTATCATATAAGATCCCATGATCTACATGAGGCCTAACATGAGACATAACATTTAAAGTTACCAAAAGATATGTTGGGTGGACACACACTCGTACATATATAAATCTGAATACAATGTCTAAGAAGCAATGTTCAGGAGTAATTACTACAGGTAGGTGATTTTTTGTAAACCTTAAAGTCCTATAACATTAAGTTCATGATGTTCTATAAAAATGGGAGAAGCCAAAGAGCTTTTCTTATGCATCCTAGTATAAGAGATAGAAATGTTGACTATAATCTGCAATAAATACTTTGGGATGTGCACTATAAGAATAAATTTGATATACACTGTCATCTATGGGCTTGTTGCAAACATTTTCTTGGCTGCTTTCTTTTGTAGTTTTTCTCTTGCTTTTTGTTCCTTTTGCTGTGCCTTCTTCTCCTTCTCCACGCAAGCCTTCAGCTCCTTGACTTTCTTCTTGAATGTGTTCTTATCGTTTGTGTTCGTCACACCGATCGTCTGATCATCATAAGAGAAATGAAAGAAAGAACAAGAAGAAATCAGTAGAGGCATGGGTCAAAATGAATTGTAGTAATAATTTCTACCCTGATAACCAAATAGGTCCGTACAATTTATTTGACTTTTTGAAACTACCAGTAATAATATTCTTTATATTCTTTATGTTAAGAATAACATGAAGCTCGTTATATCTTCATTATCTCAATTTTCAAACAATTTATCTCAATGTATACACAATTTTTTAGAGGGAGTGTTACATTATGTTTTTTTTTACATTTGTTTTTGTTCACTTATAAGGGTGAACATTAAGTGAAGCAGAGAATATATCTCACTACCTTCATATATAGCATTCATGTTTTTTTTTAATTCAATCTTCATAAACTGTTAAACCTTTACAAAATTCCCCTTTTGTAGAGCCACAAAAAAAATGAGTGTATTATATACCAAGTCACAGGATACATGATGCATATAATCTGCTGAGAGTCACAAGAGCATTTATTCAATTAAACCATTCCACCAAGAGTTGATGCCCTTCTGACTCTCAATGAATCTTATTGACCTTTGACCTATGACTACTAACCTTTAACCTTGCCCCGTCTAGCTGTAGCAGCATTTGTCCATTGATAGAGTTAGCTGAGAAATCATTGATGTACTGAGCTAGATTGTTAGCCATCAGCCACTGTGATACATGGGTTGTATTCCAGTCCCACACCGGACGCTCGTCTATATGATGAGGCTTCTGGGTAGGTTCATCCTGAAGGATTATGGGATTGATTTCAGTTAACGATAGAAGACAGTGAAGTCTCAATCAGACATTATTATCAAATTCTTATCTTTTAAATTAACAATTGGTTTCAATGTATCTTCCACGAGGCAACACTTCACAGATATAATTCAAGCATAGTCTTGGCCTTTCAATAGATATATTTTTTTTTTAATTAAAAATTGTATTACCGTATAGCATTAAAAACTGAGAAATATCAGCCCAAAGAGGGAGTTTACAAAAAAATGTTTTAAAAAAGAAAGAAGATTTCTGACCGACCGGCCCTAAAGGGCAATACAACATTTCTTTTTTTTAGGCCTTATAGTGACACTTGCCATCAATGTTCTATGTGTGGATGTGATGCTACTAACCTGTGGTGGTGCTGAGATGCTGTATTTGCCTTTCTTCTTCTTCTTTCCTCCAAACTCACCAGGCATACCACCAAGGTTATCTTGGGAATATGCTGAGAACATCTGTCTCTTCTCATCTAAGATAACACACACAATGTAATACATTCATTCATCTTATACTCAACATGCTGAAAACAATTGAATATCAACATTTTCAATGTGCAGATTATTATCCTAATGCTATTCTTATAAAATTTCATAAATTCCAGTTCTATTGAAAAATAATTTCACTAAAATTATTCTCAATATATTGTGCAGATTAAAATATTAACATTACATTTACCTTTTGAACAAACATAAGAACTATGATTGGATCATCTGTTTGGAGCCAGAGAAGGGCTTTAACTCAATTAATTTAACACAGAGTTAACACCCTTCTGGCTCCAAACACAAGAAATCATGTATGGTGCATTAAATAATATCTAGTAATATCATTCCAACCCAGACTAGTTTCATTAAGATCTATGAATGATTAACTTTGCCATTTTACCAATTTCTAAAATGTATCAACAAGACGAGTCATAGATGAACATGGAGAGATAAGCGACATGATGATGATGAGCTTGCCACATCATAAGCATACAGCAAGCATAGCAGCAATTTAATGTGATCATGTTAATAACAAAGAGGATGGTACAGGCAAGATGAGGAAGAGATGACATATTGAAGATGACATGCAAGCTTGATAATTCCCATGATACAGACAAAGCCAACGCACAAGATGACATGACAAGGTGACATGGATTACAGCAAACGCAAACATTGCTGTAAAGCCTTGCTCAGGTATGACACAGTAAATGGCAGTGTTTTTTTTTTTTAATCTAAAGATGTACCCTGTCATTTATTTACACATTTTTTTTTTTAAAGTGCTGCAGTTTAACACTTCATACCTTAAGAAGCTTTAATAGTAGGGTTGGATGGAACTGCATTAGGACAATCCTTGTATTATCAAAGAATATACCTAATCCCAACACAAGTGTGCCAGCTAATGCTGCTTTTATAGAATGAACCCAAAACTGTCCCAATTTGACCATTTGAGAGGTAAAGCAAACACCTCTTACAGGTATATGCATTAAATGAATCCCTCATGTAGACTATAGGGCACCATTTGAATAATTATAAAATCCCTCTAAACGGAGATTCCATGAAATTTGCCTAGCAAGATGAAAGTATGCTATCCATTTATTTCATCATAAGAGGACAAAGCTCTTGAAATCACCAGTGACTAATATTGGTAATGCAAGAAAGAACCCTTACCTAATGGTTCAATCAAGAGATTTCTCATTTTTGGATGAAAGGAATAATAAATGGTCGCATGAGACAATTTCATATGATTATCATAAGATGGTTGTATGTTTGCTGTTAATGAGAGAGCTTCATTCATACCTTGCTCCCTCTCATCATCAGATGAAAATGATGACAGAGATGAAGAGGAGGATGACCACGATGAGGAGAGTGAAGATGACGAGGAAAGTTTAGGAGCAGAGCGAGACGCAACACCAACAACACCACCTTTGGGGTTTTTACAGAGATGTTAGCGGAAAGACAGATAGACAGATAGACAGACAGACATGACCAAATACACAATGACAGATAGGTTAATAACGGAAAGGCGGAAAGGCAGAAAGAGTAATTTATAGTCTTCTACAGTGCCATTTATATCGGTATCTTTTACACATATCTTCACCATTTATTGATAGTGAATAAATGTGCCAGTTCTTCCTCTTCTATCAGCTAGTCTTCCTGAATAATGAGTTTAAAGTGAAAGAAAAATTTCTTTGTTCACTATCTGAGATGAATAGGTAAATTTCATTAATATCATACTCACTAATTGTGTTAAATAATACTAAATATAAATGGCACTGGAGATATGCAACTTTAAGAAACATGCAGACTAATCAAAACATTATCAACCTTTTTTCTTTCACTAAAACTTTTCACTAAAACTAATTTTCTTTTAAAGTTCGTTGTACATGAAACAGACATAAATACCGCACTGGCAATAATCATGCACTTTAGGAGCAGGAAAGGTTGGCAGCAATGTGAAAACACAAAGCAAATTGTTGAAATCATTTAAAGCTTTAATATTTGCACAAAATCTAGGCTTCTGGATCAGCATGAGCAGTTAAGGTTTCTTTTGTCAATGGGAGATTTCATATGCCTGTGGATCTTATTCCAATATATTTGTACAGTTGGATAGTATCAGGTGGTCAAATGATTTGTATTTGATGATGATATCTAGTTACAAATAGGTCAAGAGAGACAGAAAATACAGTGGAATGGAGTTGAAAAAGTAATATATTAGAGATACATTTGAAAAGAGAAAGTAATACCGGTAATGAGAAATTATGACAATTAGAAGGAGGAAATGGATGTTGTAGAGTTAAATTAAGTTTCTTATCATAAAAAGAAGATAACACGAGAGAGAATTCAGTTACAAAAAAAAAAGAAAAAAGGAAAGGATATAGGGAGAGAGAAAGTGAGAGATAGGCAGAGAGAGAGAGAGAGAGAGAGAGAGAGGGTGTATAATATGTGATTTAAGAAAATAGAAAAAGGATAGACTGTTCATGGCAGATGGGTTGGTTGATAAAACATTTACTGGAAATTAATTAAAAGAAAGAGAGATTTCACATGGAAACTACTAAAATACAGGCTGAGGAAACATAAAAAAGAACCTGCATAATGAAAGTAGCAACATTGGCAGATCACAAGCAGTACAGATACAAAATTTAAAGTAGCAAGGTTTTGTAAGACAGAGCACACTGCACACAAAAAGGAGAGGAAACATGGATTTTAAGAAAATTTGCTTTCAACCAGATCAGAGCACAAAGCAATCTTTAAGAGCTTCCACGTATCCACTCCTGGATGCAGAGAGTTAAAGGTATTACAAAGTTTTGGTATGGGGTCATGAATTTGGTTCAAATTAACAATTTTGGAAGCATATGCGTTCCTACAATATTCAATGATCGTTGTCGCGGTTGAAATCGAGTCTAAAGTTGTGAAATTATAATTAATAAACTCTTTATGTTGTATAGCTCCCTCTCAAGGTCAAGATATCAATTTAGCTATGAAACAATGTTTCTTGACTAAAATCGACCGATTAGCTATTCCCGTTTGGAAATTATGTATCATAACTACATATTCTGAGATTTTCATGGTCGCAGCTACCATTGTACGGCCATAGGCGCTATTTGAAATTTATCAAAATTTACCGGGAGCACCGGTAAATTTTTATATTCAATTTTTCTCGAAAACAGAAGAGTTTTAGGGGCTAATTTTTTTAGTGATTACAATACATCCACAGGGGCATCCAAATATAACAAAATTGTAAAGATTCACTATCCACCCATTTTTCAAAATTTTCCAAAACTTTGTATTACCTTTAAGAGTAGCTGAAATGCCTTGATACATACCTTGAGGAGCGTACATAGGAGGATCCTCAGAGCTACGACTACCCTGACTAGATAACTCAGGACTCAGCTGCTGATCAAAGGGTACATCTACAGCCCTCTCTTCATGTTTATGCCGGTGGTGGGGGCGAGATGAGACCAGGCTTACCCCTACTCCTTCTGGTGAAGACGATGAAGGGGACGATTCTATATGGGCACTTGTGTTTGGTTGCTGTAACCTGAATCAATCAAACAAGGAATAATGAATCAACTTATCATCCAACTACAGATCTAAGGAGACACACTGATTCAGTGGTTAAGAGCAGTGAGCTTAATAGCAAGCATTGAAAAGAAGACAGTGTGCTAGAGATCTTGACTTCATAATATTAACTTCTTGTATAACTTTGAGACGTGCTCATGTATACTACAATTGTATTGTATAATTTTTTATTTTATATGTACCGGTATGTCTATATTTTGTGTAAAATGTGGAACAATAAAAACTTGAAACTCGAAAACTCGTATCAGGTATCTATCAATGTCTCTATGGGCTCCCAAAGAGCTTTGGATTATTACCCCTGCTCAGCCTAGCCGCCCAAATGAAGGTATTGAAACTTTAAGGAATCAATTCCTACCGGTCTCCATTTACTTTACCTGGGTCAAGTGTGGATCAATGTACATGTAGATTGATTGATTAATAGTGCTAAAGCAAGGAATTAAATCACATTATGCCTTGTGATCTGTGACTTATCCACTAGACCACAACACCACTGTTTTAGGTATCAATCCTTAAATTACTAAGTCATGAATAATCTATAACTAAGACCCATCTGTTGAGTGGATATAATAATTGTCTTGTAAGAGTCAGAAGGTCTTCCACCCATATACTCTTACAAAGAGTTAACATCCTTCTGGCTCTCACCAGACAATTACAGAGTATGGTTCCAAGTGTGAGGAATCATCTTTGATTGACAGGATGAGAGACCCTCAAACTCCGGCCACCTGATGATGATGAGAGCATTGACTTACCTCAAGATAGGCATAGCTGGTGGAAGGCCTGATGATGATGATGTTGCTGTAGTGACGGGTACAGGGACAGGAGATGGTGGACTCTGGTAACCTGAGGCTATGTGGTCTGTACTGTTATCTGGTTCTCTGTACACAGTCAAAGAAAAGGGGAAAATATTAAATTAGAACATATTCTTTCATATACATGATATATATCGCCATGGTTACATAAATGAGGGAACATTGAGCTTGTAAAAGGAACATGGCATATACCTGTGGGACAAACAAAACAACATCTGGAGCAAAGAACTAATTTTAGGAGGGATGCAGAGTTCAGAATTGATCAAACAAAAACAAATAGCAATGCTTTACATTAAATGATAAATGTTCAGCTTCATACACAATTTCTCAAATAGGTTAATTAGTAAATGAATATGACTATACACAAAATGATAGAAGGAATAAATATGTTTGAACACAAACCAAAGTCTATTTCTTTAGAATAAATAATGAGTACTGCTACAACTGGAAGGGATACACTCTAGCATGAAGCATAAATACAAGCAATTAACTGCTCAACATGTATATAACATCTACAAAGTCTTAACAGGAGATATAACAGCATTTAAAACAGCAAAGTATGAAATGTTGATTTTTTCAACATTGTCGTCAAGCCTAGTAAACTATGCTAGAAGCGAGATAACTATTTACAACTAAATCCTTTGTAATATATGCTAACAAGTATATTAAGTTACAAAATCATTATGAGCTTATAAATTGCATTCACCTGAAATAACTACTTGATAGGTTTGTAATAATGCCTATTTTTTCTCATAATGCAGTTTTACATCATTTGTTTTTGTTCCTTTTGAACAAAATAACACTAATCAGAGCAAAGCATCTCCAAGAAGAAAGCAAAAACCATAATCTCTATCTTGTATGAGTGAAACAGACATGAGTCTAAATATAATTTTACATAACACTTAAAAATTACTACAAATACTTAACATGAAGTATATATAAAGACTTTGATTTTTTATATATGCATAAAAATATGACGAAGAGCAAAAAGGGGAAATAAAAGAACACAGGATTATAGCTTTGCAACCATATAAAGGTACATGTCTTTACTTTATAAACAGCTGATGATACAGCTCTCTTTGTAGGAGACACTTTTATTCACAGCAGTCATGCATGAATAATATCTTAAATGATCTAGTATCTTTAGGGAATAAATACGCAAATTGGCAAAGCAATGTGGAATAGTGGCAGCAGGATACACTGACTGAAAAGGTCAACAAACTTACGGGAAATAGTGTCGGCTAAATTCAGAGTGGAGATAAATAGGGGATGCAAAGTTTATTGTTTTGATTAATATATAATGAAAGTGAAGAGGTATATGTTATATATTGTGGCTAATCTTATAACATACACATGACATCTGGGATAAAGGGATCAAGTGATGATAAAATCTGTGTTAATTCCCCTTACAAAATACAATAAATCATTAGTATACAATACTGACATGAGTAACACACAAGTGACTCCTAGCTGTAATATAAACACATATAAAAAGACTGCAAATTTATCTATAGTCTACCACATATGATTGTAATAACGATTAGATTCTTGGAAAGTGCCTGAACATCAGCCGCGCTGTGGCAACCAAGGCGCTTTAAAATTATTCCAGATTTCACTTGTGCAATCACAATCTTCCCTGGGTAAAAAGAGACAATTGCACAAAAAATGCCTTGTCTATCTGATTTGTCTAATTTTTGGCATTATAAAACTTACCCACCATTTACATGACTTCTTAAATTGTTATCGTGTATATATATATATATATATACATATATATCATAAATCCTAGTTAGGGGCATGTTTACATATCAAACTTAAACACAACATTCAAACTCGCACAATACACAAAGACATTATATTATAGAGAAGACACACAGTAATACATGTACATGGACCATCATACATTCTAGAGTTCTAGTTCTGAAAAGTTCAAATATCTACATTATGAGTTGTGCCTTCCAACTAAACTTTCAAGTGAAAGAATATTTACTTTGCACGCTAATAAGAGTTACATGTCCAGTATTAGGAATGACATCTAATTGAATACTTGTGCTTAAAGTTAGATTTTATTTAGTAAATCCTACTACCCCCTTTTAATAAACAAATCTACTACAACAGCAATTACATGTACTATGACAACTACTATGACTACTACTACTTCTATTACTAGTACTACTACTAATACTTCTACTACTACTAATACCACTACTACTACTACTACTACAACTCCTGTTTTTATTATAATCATCATAAGAGCTACTCTACCTTTTTAAAATTTAATATTTACATTTTCTATCATATTTTTGTTAAGTTTTAATTCATTGATTTATTTGTGTTGTAAAGCGCTTTGATCAGTTCTAAATTGGATATAGCGCTATGAAAGAAACAATTTATTATTAGCATTATTATTATTTCTTCTTATTTTTCTAACTCATTTGTTTCTAGCATCCTGGATCAATCTTTATTTATGTTCTTGACTTTATCATACTACACCCTCTTAGACTATTAATTTCTACTATTTGTCATATTTTATAATTATCCTTACTTAGCAATATTCATCTTACTACTGTTTTTTAATTCAACCCTAGGTGTGATATCCTAATTTTAATATTACTAACACTATACACTGTATACACCATATACAGCACCATACACAACACATAACATTCACTGTACTAGATACATCTAGGTACACACTACAAGACAGAGAACATGCATTCCTATAATACTGACATCATATATACATATAAGTTTATATTTGGTCACTCTGCACTGAACTGCATATTTTCCATGATTTAGAATCAGTTGTTCTTGGGTTAATCAGTGTTGCTGCTCTATCAGAAACACCTTGCTCCAATATTTGAATTATAGTTGTTGATAAGAGGAGGTTCAAAATAAAGAAATGATTTCCTGACCCTTTAAAAGTACTAAGCAATAAGACAATGCACCTATTTATATTTAAATAAAAGTTTATTCAAGTTCTTGCAGTTTAAAGTAATTCTCTATATGAATTCAGCACAAATCCATTTTTAAAAACAAAGTTAAAAAAATAATGAAAAGCTTTAAGGAGGAAGAAATTATCATTGTCTTTAACATATAGATGGAAATGGATGTATAAACACAACCTTTTATTATTTTTCTTTTAACTTGCTTTCTATGTCTATTCAGCGTGATAGGAGGCGCGATAGCTCAGTCGGTATAGCAGTGGTCTTGTATTCTGGTGACCCGGGTTCAAAACCAAGCTGATGCGCTAGTGCCCTTTGGTTGCTTTAATACTCATTACCAGAGGACCTAAAGCCGTTAACCGTTTGGTTGCTTACTTACAAGCATTTATGCTTTCTTAGCAGTCAGGTAAAATAACCACCACCAAAAATTGTCTAGATATGTCTGGATTATTACTGCCGATAACATTTTTAATTTATCTGAATGATATCTGACCCATTTCTGTCACATCATTTCCATAATTAGAGCAAGGTATTTTGATATTATCTTTGTTTGAGGTAATGCTTATTTCTACAATCTTTTTATTCAGCTTTCACAAGACACAAAGTGCGCACATCCATTTTGCTGATTTTCTTTTACCTTCTTATCCACGGGTTGTAGTAGATTCTGTACAAATTGTTACATAACAGGATCGAAAAAATACACAGATACAAAGAAAGAGCATTTAACAAACAAGAGCTTTCGACATGAACAGAGATTACAGGAGCTAGGTGTTAATTCATATTACCAGAGCATCGATATGTTTATTGAAAGAAAAGTGTTTTACATACAGGGTAGAGAAATGAATGAGCCAAAGAATACATACATGGATATACATTGTGAGTGGCATTGGCAATGTGAAGAAATTAATGGGAAATCATTATGCCATAAAGCTTTAAAAGTTTATCTTTAGATCATTTTTGAATAGCAATTATAAAAAATATGAGCATCAAGGCAAAATACCTTTGGGAATATAATTACAAATATTAGAAATAAATGGTTTGAAATTATTGGTAATGCAAAGAGACAGCTATAAAGGAATGTAAGACAAACATAGAAATGAGATTATAAAATAGTGCTATGAAATAACCACAATATTAGTATATGAACCACGTGACAATGATAACAGACTTATAGAAAGAATCTTGAATCTAGAATGAAGAACAAATGAATTGAATCACTGAAATCCTTACAAAAATATTCATGAATAACATGGGAAAAAGTTAGAGATATTTGATGTGCTACGCGGACAGAATTGACTCACTTTTCTGACACTTGAGGGCGTCCCATCTTCGGTGACCTCGGAGGTGAACTCTGACCTTCGTCTCTGAACCTGCCGAGCTTAGGAGAGGCCGGTTGATTACGTAATACCTCGCTGGGTTTGGTAGTACCAGGGGGCATTGTGGGAAGGACACGTACCATCTGCGTACGTTCCATTGGCTGAGGTTTCTTTGCTATGATTGGTGGGCTTTCTTTTGTAGGTACGAGTTCATCCATTAGCTGATTGGATAAAAAGATAAAAACTTTTCAAGATAGCATATAGAATATTTGTTTTACACATCAAGTTACTACCCACTTCTTTACTGGAATGCACCCTTTCTCTATAACCCATCATTATTGCAATTAACACTAGCACTATATCATATCAACACCCAAATCTGCAGCTGATATTGCCTTGTCTCTAGAACTACTATTAGGCCTTTTTAAAAAAGATGTTGTATTGCCCTTTGTGACCGACCCCAAAATCTTGAAATCTATGGTCGGCTTTTTACAAAACTTTTTTTTATTTACCGTTTTATAGAAAAAAAATGTATTAAAGCATTAAAAACTGAAAAATTTCAGCCAAAAGAGTGAGTTTTAAAAAAAAAAAAGTTAAAAAAAAAGGAAAGATTTCTGACCGACGGACCCATGTTTTGGCACTTAAAGGGCAATACAACATCTCTTTTGTTTAGGCCTTATTACAATTAACACTAGCACTACATCATAGCAATACCCAACTCTGTAGCTGATAATGCCTTGTCTCTAAAACCATCATTATTAAAATTAACACTAACACTATATCATATCAACACCCAACTCTGCACTTGATAATGCCTTGTCTCTATAACCACCATTATTGCAATTAACACAAGCACTATATCATATCAACACCCAACTCTGCACTTGCTAATGCCTTGTCTCTATAACCACCATTATTGCAATTAACACTAGCACCATTTCATATCAACACCCAACTCCTCACTTGATAATGCCTTCTCTATAACCATCATTATTACAATTAACACTAACACCTTATCATGTTTAGCACCCACCTCTGAACTGGATTGAGCCCTGTCTCGTAGATGTGAGAGTGAAGGTCTACTTCTCCTGGCCAATTGGCTATCAGCGCTGGTTACCAAGGAGATCTTTGACCTCTCTACGCTCGTATCGAGACGCGATGAGTCGGGCATCAAGGCATTAAACACCTGGATGTTAGAAGAAAGATAGAAAACATCAAATCAAACTCTAACAACCTTCTGAAAAAATGACTTACATCTTTCATTCAGAATCTGCTAACAAACATTGTTTCTCATAACTACAATTCTACTTTTACTTTGTCATACTATAAATGACAAGACGTGTGTCAATGGGTTAGAGTTTATTCAGATCTTTGAGTCTTGATCAAATATTATGTCTTTAAAGAGGAATATCGTTTATCTCTTTGCTTGCCAGAAACAGAATCTCTCTAGACTTTTAAATTTAATTAATATTATGTATTGTGCCACATAGACTAATTAAACCTGTGTGACCTATGTTGACCAAGGCCTTCAATTACATGTGCTGTTAGTAAACTAAGGAGGTAAAGGGTTCACAAAGATGAGATCAAGGATTAGAAAACAGGTCTCAGTAATAGGAGACCAGAAACTGAACCACTTGACCACCAATTCACATCTTCCTTGTTGACTGAAAAACCTTCTTTACTGAATTGATCAACAGCTATTTTTGTCCACTTAATGGTGCTTTTATCATTACCTCTTATTTTATAAATTAAACAAGGTCTGTGTCTTCTACGCAAACTAACCTCATAGGCCATTTCACTACCTAGTCCTTCCGTCTCCTCCTCCTCCTTTTCTTCTTCCTCTTCTTCATCGTCATCTGGTAACCCTGAGATATGATACGTTCCCTCCGTCCCTGAGAGATCACTGTCTGATTCATTATCTGATTGATCATCGTCATCGTCGTGTTCCTGAACACGAGACGAGGGTGGAGCTGACTGGAGGGGAGCTGATGAGAGAGAGAGGTCAGAAGAGAACAGACCTTAGATCATCAGGAGGGTACGTAACCATGGTAATGAGTTCAATGGATGAGACAGGCAATATACACTACACCATTCCACATATGGCTTTAATAAAGGAACCTGTACCTGGCTGAATTCATGAGAGTAGTGATAACATCTGAAGAAAGAAGTTACAAGCAAGTGAAAATTGGAATAGCAAAAATAGAAACAGTCCAAGTTAACAGGGCAGATGGGGGGGGGGGGGGATCTCAAAATATTGAATTCTTTTCCCGGCATTTCATGAAACCTTATGAAAAGTTTCCAACTATAAGTTAAGTAACAGTTTTACATGATATTATGTGAATCCTTTTCCATTTTTGAAACTACATTGCTAAATGTGATTTAGAGAAGGTAGTTAAACTCTCTTTCTACATAATACTCTAAGACAATATATGGTCTGCTGAGAAATAAAAGGGTTTAATTTTTATCCTTTTACACAGAGTCAGCATCCTTCATGCTCTCTACAGATATTAGATAATTTAAAAAAGATTGACTTTAATCAAAATCAACAATGTACCCGTGTGCCCTGCATACTACCTCTGAACATATTTTCCTTTAAAGGAGCTACACAAAGAAAATTCACTAACAACTCATAATTAGAACAAATTACATATGGATGGAAAGATTTTCTCTTGAAAAACACGAATAATTTGCTGAGAAATCATATAGATATCATGGAAAGGCGTAAAATCCAATTTTTCAAGACTCTTCTTAGACCCCCAAACGCCCCTGAACGTAAGCCAAACACACAAGCATAGCGAGCTCTGAATAGTGACGTCACACACTGGACAAACAGCTCAGTGCCGTGTAGCAGTATGCAGCTAGCCAGCCGTGTCCCGTATGTGACGTCACAAATATTGACGCTCTACAAAGGACCGCTGAAGGCAGAAAACCTGGATCTCAAAACTAACATTTTTGAGAGTTGATTATTGCGGGCCCCAAACATATTTTGAAGAGAAGAGTTGTTGTATTTGATCGGCAAGGCTTTCCTTTCGCAATGATATGAGTTTTGCATCAATTCAAAACACTTTTGATTCTTCGTGGGGCTACTTTAAAACCCATTATATTAACAAAATACTTGTGAACTTTCCTATTAAACCAATGAAACTAGATATCCACCTCCTGTGTTATAATAACACTGCAAAACTACTTGACATCAGGGGAGGTTTCTCAATACTAACTGTAAATATAACAGGTTATCTTCACACACTATCAACAAGAAATACTGTCTCTTCTGTTACCTATTTGTTAATTTCACAAACAACATACTGGTAGATGGGTTATTTTCTACTCCATATCTATGTGTTTTCAAATTCTCTTTAAGTGTCATTTCTTCTGTGGTCTAAATATATAATTACAAAGTTGTCATATTCAATAATAATTTGATCTCTACCTACTGGCTAAGTAGTATTAATTAATCAAATAATTCCAAGACAGCCCCAATGATTTTTCTTTTTTGAGGGATGAAAAAAAAAGCAACAAGACAAATGAAGCAAAGTTGAAAGAATATCCTTGCTGAACAGCCCTGTATATGACTTTAAAATGAACAAAAGTAAAGCATTGAGCTGCGATTTATGTCCATAAATATTCTGAAAATTCAATATAAAACACATACCAATAGTGTGTGACATGCTACATGTAACAAGATATCAACTGATGAATACATGAATATATCAAAATTAAAATAAACATAAATGATTGGACTGGGTCACTGGGGTATGTGGGTACATGGGAGGCAAATAGGAGTCTGGTAGGAGAATATTGTACGTTGATTTTCTGTTTAAAAAAAAAACTTGTAACACATCTTCCAACCCAACCCTTTTGATGGAACTAGTAAATTAGTATTAACTTATCACTTACTCTGATAAAAGGCTACATCAATAAGTAGGCCATTAAAAGTTCAGTTAAATGGTGCATCTCTGACTTACTAATCAAATCTTTGACATCCAGAAATTGTGCAATAACTTAAATCCCTAGATTGTGTAAATGGGTATTGATGTATTCATTCTTACCTATTCCACATTTTTTCAATATTATACAACAAGGCCCTGTTACTGTGAAGGAATTTTAGACTCAGAGTGTATACCATTTATATAATTTAATATGTTTGTTATAGAAAAATGTATGACATCTAACAATTTGTTGGAAAAAGGATTTGATGTACAAATAGGGTAATGTGCAATGGAGGTTGAATGATTCGTACAAACATGCAAACTAAACATCAAGTCAAGTCACGTCATTCCACGATCATTCCACCTTCAGAGGTCCAAATCAAGACACACATGCCATGCATTGGAACTGGTTGGATCAAGTCAATAGATTATGACTCGATCAGCTAGTCATCTTGACTTTATCGATTACACTTCTAGCTTCTTACCACAAATAAGATGGCCCATGTCGAAGTCCCATTCAAAGTCTGTTTATTTATGAATTACATAACAAGTGTTAATCAGGAGGAGGATGATGATGAGGAGATATATATCATGATTCAAAATGGAGGAGAAATATGGTGAAATGAGAGAGACAGAGAGAGAGAGACAGAGAGAGAGAGAGAGAGAGAGACAGAGAGAGAGACAGAGATAGAGAGAGTCAGAGAGAGACAGAGAAAGAGAGAGAAAGATAGAGGGAAGATGAACTTATAATAATTAACTTGCAGAAGAAGAAGAAAAGAGATTAGAGGAATGTTTTCAGAACATCCGAGGAAAAAGATTCAATTAAACAAAAGGATGAAAAAGAAATAGAGATGAAAATAATTAATCATTATAAGAATGAAAGAAAAAAATAAAATGAGAGAGATGTAGATATAGAATGATATAAGAATATGAAATAGCAATATACAAGCAATGTGGCATTATCAGGTGAAGACAAATGTAACTATTTTAACATTTTAAAGTTTTTCATTAACAAATGTTGAATCACCCATGTATTTGTTTCATAATGTTATATATTAGCAAGACATTTTGAAAGTTTTAAAGCAAAGGTTTATTATTGGTGTGTTAAAGCAAAATTTTGCTACTTTTTAAATTTTGTTTGGTAAAAAATTGTTGTGCAATTGTTTAACATGAGTGGAAAAAGCAACATGAAACTGATATATACTACACTTCATGTTTAGATCCCTTGTTGACCATACATTGCGAGACAAACGAATGTCACTAGCGATATTATTTTCGATACTATATCAGCAATGAATAATATATTTAGCATTCCTGTATATTCTTTGCTATTTACTGCATATCCCAAGTGAATACTTGAGGAATGATTTGGCTTCATTGCATTTTAAATCTCTAATAGTACCGTTAAAATAGAAATAAATAAAAGAAAGCATATGTATGAAGTAGTTTGCAGTATGTAAGAGTTAGATTTGCTTTATCAATGTAAAAAACAGTAGAAACAATAGGATGTGTTATGAAAAAGCCATTAAAACAATGAGTCAAAAGCTATTTAGTACAGAACAAAATACATGAATTGAAAAGACAAATTCAGAAGGAAGAGCGTTGTACATGAATTGACAAAGTAAACAACGGCATAGGACAGAGATATATTGCAATTGAGAAAATAGATATAGAGATAGATGAAAAGTAGATGAATGAGGTTTGTGATAAGTGGACATATATTCAACAATAAGATATTAAATATATTAATATGAATGTCATCAAAACATAAAGTTACATGTATTTCACCAATATATCAACCAAACAAAAAAATAATGTATTCTTGACTATAAGCATGTATGTTATGTTAACTGTATTTAAATTATATATCAGTATTGTGACTATCGTTTCTTCAAGATATTTGACTCTTGAAAAAATTGAGAAAAATTAGTCTCTTGTTTCACATGGTAATAATCATGATTGCTTATTAAATAATGTATTTAAAAATCTGAAAATGATTCTGATATGAAATGTATTAATAACACGACATTAAACATGATACTGTATACATGGTAGAGTATACATAAGGATACTGGACAGCAAACAAACATCTTCCTTCAAATACAATGAACATCGCGATACAAAATAAACATATAACAAACATTGTTTAATAAAATCAACATTATGATGGAAGCAGTTTAAAGAAAAGCAAAGCAGAGCAGAGGTAGAAAACAGCTTTTGTTTGACAGACAGATGGCGATGGAATAATTAAATAATAAATAGTTGATTTAATGACATGTTAGTTGAAAGAGAGAAAGCTTTTTGTTGTCATTTTTGTTCTGTTATAGTCCCTTTGCTATTGCTGTCATGTTGCATTATGTGTCTTTAGATTCTCTACATGTTTTTTCATCTTTATATCTTGAATGTTTTTTATTATTTTAAGAAGGGGAAGGGATACATTTCAGAAGACTAAAATTATCAAAACAAACTCTAAGCACTTATCTGGTATCAATGTTGTAGTACAAATCTCAAATGACAGGTATCAACCAAAAACAAAAACAAAAAAGTTTTAAAAGATTTCCTTCACCTCAATTTTAAGTTGACTTAAACCTCTCTAGATTCTTCTTAGTCATGATGGTGCATTGTAACACACAAAAAACTTTTCAATAATCATTTATACAATTTATGATAGCAGGAACTGCTAATGTTTGTGCATGTATCCTCACTGATATTGAAGTAATATTGAGTCTAGGGCATGCAAAAAGGTACATGAACTGAACTCGATATTACTCTAATTGGTTTTTTAATAATTCATTTAATACGTAAATTGTTCAGTTCCTTTATCCACCTCAATCCTATTTTCATTAACTCTATAAAAGGTATTCAATAACAAAGTAATGACTTAGGAATTCAGGACTGTGCAGGGGAATTAAGTTCATTTATAAGAGCAAGAAAGAAGTTAGTCAAGCAAGGAGCAGTTATATAGTGCAAGAAGAGCTTAAATGCATCAGGCTAGAAATAAGGAAAATGCGAATGCAGGGAAGTAAACTAATTCTATGTTTAGACATTCCCTCACAAGTAGGAATCTTTCCTAGTTTATTAGTAGCATCAAGAATTCTTTTTATCCTCTACATCTCTAAAATCCATGTCTAATTCACCTAAATTTAAGTAACCATGTTATCAACCATTTTAATCAAAAACTCATATTTTAACTATCCGATTTCCACAGTACCAAAAGTACCATTTGTATCAAACTATTTTTTAGAAAACTTTAAAGAATGTCATTGACTATAAACTGTGTTCATTACAGAAGAGAGGATAATGCATTTTTCAATAGCTGAACTATATTTAAAAATAGTAGTATTTTAAGGAGCAAAGATTAGAGAAAGATGCGCTTTGGTTAAAAAGAGTTAGACAAGAGTTCAAGAGCAGTTAGTAGGAGAATACACTGGCTGATTCACATCAATTTGATTCCAAGTATTAATTTTCCAATTTTCCAAGGTTGGTCATTTAAAGTCCACACCAATTCTCCTTTCCCATTGCCTTTAAAGTGAAGAGCATTAATACATGAATTTGATGAGTTAAACTGGGTCACAGCTCGGTGTCGACCCTGAGCTAGATATGTGTGAATACAGCCAAGATTCAAGGTTAGTAGTTTAGAATCAAGTTGGTTAGTTCGTGATCAGAGCTGAAAATGAAGAAGCTTGCTCAGTTAGGAGAGTTTATTTCCATGGCATACCTTCTGATGTTTCATCTACTATCAATTCCTTTCCCTGTGCTTCCAATATAGCTTCAAAAGATGGAACCTGCGCCTGCCTTAGAAGTACAACATCTTCATCTAGAGGAGGGGGGGAGGAAAGAGGTTTTACAACACACCACAGAAAGAAAAATGCAAGAGTATTTAAAGAAAGGAATGCTTGGTTTAGATTTCTAAAGTAGACTAAGTTTTTTTTTAAAGAGTACAGTTTCGACAATCAGTGGCTTTTAGAAATACTGTTGTAATGTTGGCTGAAGTAATTATGTCTAAGTAGATGCTGCTGCTGCTGCTGCTGCTGCTGCTGCTGCTGATGATGATGAAGAAAATGATGATGATGATGAAGAAAATGGGATGATGATGATAATGACAATGATGGTGGTGGTGGTGGTGTTGATGATGAAAATGATGATGGTGAAGATGGTGGTGGAGGTAGTGATGGTGACAATGATGGATATTGATAATGATGATGATGGTGAAGATGATGATGATGAATGATATGATATCGATCATGATTAATTTATGATGATGACGCCGATTAACTGTGAAGACCAATGGCGAACACAATGACAATGATGACAAAACTGATGATTGTGATAATAATAATGACGTTTACGAGTGGTGAAGCGTATGACTTCAACTTTGCACATTTTTGTCTGAGCAAAAAAAATTAACAAAAACAAAATATTGAGGGGGAAAAATGATATTAAACCTTTTGTGCATACATCTATAAGCAATGCAAACCACACTTAACTAGATCTATAAATAAATATCTTTGAAATATTACTGAAAGAAATCTAAAAGAGTATTTAAATCAAAAAACTTTTCTTCTTCCAACTTGAAGTATGTTATATCAAACATTCAATTGATCCATGCTTAGGGGTAATAACAATAATCAAATAAATGATAGTGGTCGGGTACATAATATATAACACAAATGCAGGATAATAAAAAATATCATAGTAAAATTTTCCATCAAACAAAACATCTTACATTGAAGCAACTACCATTTCAACTTTCACTTTTACAGAGCTGTGAATGCTACTTTTGTTTCTAATGAAAAACTAATTGTCATTACTGACAATGGAATCATATTTTGACTAAATGTTTCTTGACAGAGGGTTATAATAATGCCATAATATATTCTCCATTGACTTTCTGAGTTTAAATGAGTGCAAATTTGTATTGCCCCTCTTTAAAAAGAAGATAGTATTCTGTTCTATTCTACTATTCTGTGAGAAATATAAACATGAACATGAATATTGAAGGTGAGCGCAGATGGACACATCTTTGCAGTGAAGTGCTAAATTGATGTGTACACCACTATCTGCTTCACCATAGACAATGAACTCTGCATGAACAATCTGCACTAAACAAAATCCTCCCCCCCCCCCCCCCAAAAAAAAAAAATCAAAGTAGCAATAAATTTTTAAACATGAACCATCGATCTTGCGACCCAATAATTTAAATCCTAATCTAGCCAATGGAGAATTCCATTCAACAAAATGAATGACCTAATTTTTTTTTAAAAGTCAGTCATTACATATAAATAATAGCCTGAACTGGGGAAAAAAACCTATTCAAATTATATCCAATGAACTACCGGTATGAAATTAGAGTTTGACCCAGAAATTGATTATTAGATTTTCACTATTTCTTTTATTCTATGGAAGTGAGCATGGATTATTCAGCACAATAAAAGACCCCAAAACTTTAGACGAAATAATCATAACATAAAAAGAGCGTTCTGTAAAATACCTCTACCACCTGTAACTTACCACCATTGTCAGGTGAACTAGAAGGGGAATCCCCTACTATCTCCCTATGAGGTGCTGATGCTGTCCAGCCATTGGTTAGTTTAGTCTGATTGCTCATCGATGATTCTAACTCTTGTATCTGAACAATAAACACAAATGAGAGTTAGATGTAAATGAAATGATCTAAAATCAATGAAATAACACTGCGGAAACAAGATTGCAATTAAAACCAAAAAATGATACAGAGAAAGGAAAACGGAAAAACAAATTGTTGCAAATGTACCAAGTGATTTACGGTATTCTGGATTTTTTTTTTTTTTTCTTTAATTGCAAGTTTAACAAAAAAGAAAGAGGAAAGAGCTTCAGAGTACATGTACATGCTTTACTTAAAATGTCAATTCTCCTATTGTTTTATATTTCATAATTTCTTGACAATGCCAATGTAAGCATGGTGACATATAAACAATTTTTTCCTTTACAGGATATGACGATAGAGGTTTCATTATGAGAACTTGTTGAACGTGATTTTACTTTTCTCCCTTCTAATTACTCCTAACCAAGCAAGGCTATGGAGAGCTCAGTTTCTGTATTAGACCTAACAATGAGAGACTAATTGCTGGTGAATTACAGTTCAATGTTATCACATGACAATCAATACACAGTAAACAACTGAAGGGAGGTGTTTCCATTGCTCCTAAAGAATGACGTCAAACCTAGCTGTTGGCTTTATTAGGATGGACGTAATGAGAGTTGGAAATGTAAAAACAAAGTAGAGAGAGAGAGTAGATACAATCATTTTAGAGGAGCATAAAGATGAGTGAGAGAGAGAGAGAGAGAGAGAGAGAGAGGGAGAGAGGGAGAGAGAGAGGGAGGGAGGGAGGGAGAGAGAGAGGGAGGGAGAGAGGGAGGGAGAGGGAGAGGGAGTAGTAGAAAGACATGGCAAAATACAAATGATGTGCAAAGCGAGATATAGAGGAATATATGGAGAAAAAGGAGAAAAAGAGAGAAAATGTAAAGAGATAATTAGATAGATGAAACAAGTGATCTGTTTTGATATACTTGAAACTTACAAATTTATTTTGAGTTCTTCTCTAGATAGTTTTATTTATATATATATATATATATATATATATAGAGAGAGAGAGAGAGAGAGAGAGAGAGAGAGAGCGGGGATATATGAAATAAGAGAGATAGGGTGATAAACAGTGACAGAGAAAGAGAAACTGATTGTACAATATTAGAAAATGAGGTGAGAACGAACTATCAATCGTTGTTTTATCAAAAAAGATGCTTCCACAGTAGAGTTTACAAAAAAATTGACCGCAGACAATATCACCTACCCTGTAGGTATAGCATCATTGGTCACTGTCCGCGGTTAATCTGCCAAGTAATGGTATCAACTTCTCATTTCAATCAATAATTTATTCCATTTCTTCTTTTTTCTATCCGTCTATCAATTCCCCCTTCTGTCTCTCTCTCTCTCCCTTTCTCTCTCTCTCTCTCTATCTGACCATACACCCAGGCCTCTGTATCCAATCTAATTATACTGAAAAGCCCAGAGCTACGTCTCTTTCCCATTAAAACGTCAAGACGATATTGCTCGACCATTGTCTTCGTCTTCTTTATCTGGATCAAGATTTGATCTAAAACGCTATTTGGAAATTGTGTCAAAGTTCTCAATTCTCAATAACCTAGCAACATGGGGAACATTTTTGTTTTTTTCTCATATCATGTTATATCATTTCATGAGATTGTTCACACATGAGTGCTCAGTTCAGAACATAGAAAAGACATCCTCCTCTTATAATGACCTTTCAAAAGACATTTTGGGGACATATCAAAGATCTTCCCTGGCACTAACGTCCACTCTTCACCCAGGTTATGGTTACCTGATATGCCAGAGCAGTACATAATTGGCTGCCAGCTATGACAGGGGTAATAATGTTGAAGCGCCAAGAGCGTCACAAGGTGACGGACATTTGGGCTAAATAAGAAGTCACCGTTATTATTTTATTATTACATAAACATAGCCTAAATTGTCAATTTAAGAATTAACTTATCAAAATATTGTTAAAAGGTTAGAGAATATCCATTTTATTACTATTAGCATACCATCTCCTCAAATCAAAACATGCAAGTATGAAAAAACATTATGCATATGTAGAAAATATGAATTATCTTACTGAAGATAAAGCTGGTGTAAACAGGGATGTACAATTTGTGATATAAGTGTGACACCTATATGAACGTATCTATTCCCTTAGCCACATTTTGACACAATTTTCAATTTCACCCTACAGAAAACCTGGAAGAGGCCAAAAGAAGAGCTGAACAAATTAGGAGATTAGAGCTTTCACCCGTAACCAGAGGCTTTACCCCTAGGGAGATTAATAACATGTAAGATGGATATCTAGAAATGATATCTCTCTTGACTGAATTTCATTTGCATTTCAAGGTTAACATGACGTTTCTATGAAAAGCTATACTAATTTAGAAAAAAGCCCTGAGAGCATGTCCTAATATCCAACTAAACACACAAATGACACAAGAACCAGTTTTTCATTAAATATGTCAAGTTGTCAACCGTGTAATATGAAACCATTCTATTCAAGCTGATGGACAGAAAATACTGGAACAATCACGATTTCGCTCTCAATATGACACCCCGTTCGCACTTGAATTATAAGTTTTAATCTGGATCCCAACAAACCTTGATGTGAAAGTCTGTAATCATAACTGTGACGGGAAGTACTGCCATGGACTACCACTAAGAGGTACCGTAGTCACTTGGTAGAAAGTGCCTCTAAGAGAACTCTTATATAACCGATTCACACTTATGAAATAGCACTTTAATTAATCTTTACCCCACAGGGGCTCTGTTACATAAGTGTGTATATATAATTGTGCTAGGAAGTATACCTATGGCCCATCACAAAGAGACAGTCCTCTGACATGACACTTATGTTTTAGAGAGTCAATGTTCCTCCTCAAAGGGAAAAACAAACTTAATACAAATTGACATGAGCTAACAGAAGCCAGTTCAACCTATCTTCCAAGTTACTCATGACATTAACAGTGCTCTTATTTCAGAATGTGAAAGGGGGTTGAAATGTTTTGCTCCCCAGAGATCTATTTTGAAGTTCATTTCTCATTTTCACCATCTTTCCTTGACCTGCATAAAATACGATACTTGCTTGACATGACAGCTCTCATCTTCATTCTCATCACTCTCTTTCCTAGCTGTCTCATCCTATTGTCTGCATGTATCTGTTTGTCCGTTGGTCTCTTTTCCTCTGTCCATTCAACTACTGACCCACATAAAATCTTTTCTTCTCATTCTTTGACATCTATGTCATTTCCTCCAAACCTTCAATGAAAGAAACTTAATCACTCCCAACTGGACGACCCTTGCTCATAATTTAACAAGCTTTCTTGGATGATACATGTATGTTTGTCACTTTGAGATGGTATTGCTATGTTTCTACATCATCTATGGAGAGCCTAAATGGCATATAGGAGTTAATGCCGTTTCTTGTCAACCTTGCTTCATTGTAACTCTCATTTCTAGGTGATAGTTCTCCTGACTTACATCATGGCTTGTTCCTCAGTGCATCTCTCGTCATCACCAAATAAACTTTATCTCTCCCACTCAGTAACTTTTCAATATTTTCCAAGTAATACTTTTATTATTCTGTTCTCGTTTGCTTTCAAGTTTCATTATGTTTCATTTCTCTTGCTTTATTATAACCTTATATCTTTCCTTTTATCAACAATATTCATGCCATTAACTTAAAACACCTGATTCCAGCTCACAGCTTATATATTAATCATTTTCCAAGTATCAATTTCATTATTTTTCTTTATTCTTTATGATATTTTTCAATCTTCTCATGTTTTTCCATCATTCTTGATCAGCACATCTTGTTTTATCTTCCTTACTTACCCTTGCTTGAAGATGCTCCACCTCCTTAGCGTGCCTTTCATCCTTGTCATCTTCGATCTGTTTCTGAAGACGTTCTTTCTCCTCTAATTCCTCCTCCCTGTGATGGAACAGACAAAAATGACAAGAATTTGAAATAAATATATAATTTACTGTATCTTCCAGTATCTTTCAAACATACAATAGAAGGTACAATAGAATGGCACATAGGATACAAAGTATGAAAGAATAAAATTGGCTTCCCCTGCTGCATCTCCCGAAGTTGCCTGGAAGAAAAAAAGGAATGTGAAATTCCTATAACCTTCAACTCTTTTCTTCCGCGAAAGAGATATATTACAAATGTTCCTCTACATGAAAACAAACATATCGATGCAGTAGGTCTCTGAGGAACATCCATCAATATGTGATAAACAGATTATTTATATTACACATCATTCAACTCACTCGCTGAAGTCTCTCTGTGCATGGTATTATGATGTAATATAAACTTTAGTAAATGAAAAGGAACTCTACTTCTTCAAACAGGGAAATCTGAAATTGTCATTAAATGGTGTTTTAAAACAATGATACAAAGAATGGAAAGATTCTATATAAAAAAGAAAGGTGAAAATTAAATGGTATGTACATAAGAAAGAACAAAATGGCAACTGATATTCTTTATAGTAATAAGAAATGTTATTCATACCTGGGAAATGATGTTATGTGCCCTCTTTGTTGAGAACTTAAAGAGCTAGTATAAAGGACGTATTACAACAACAAAAAAGTCCAAATTGCATGAAAGTATGAGTTATAAGCATACCCCTCCCATATTGATACATACTAAATGAAGAAAATATCAAATGGCTAGATATCAACCTGACATGAAATACAAGGTATAAGAGACAGGACAGGTGAGATAATTAGATGGAAGAAGAACAGCAACAGGATGCTAGTATTCCATGACAGACGGAGAGAGAAATAGGACAGACGGAGAGAGAAATAGGACAGACGGAGAGAAGATGGAAATGACAGCAGGACGTTCGCAGACTTGGAGAAAGTAAGAAAGGGTCGTATTACCAGAGCCGCAATCTCAAGACCTGTAATTTGATTTGCCTGAAAACTATTGCTCCAATTTCAGGTGATTCCCAAGCAATGTAGATTGATTCAGAGAAACACCTTCTCTCGCCTCTCGGCTTTACATTCACCTGATCCGAACAGAATCCATCTTTCGTTTCGAGTCAAGGGATGGATGAGCATCATTTAGTGACCTATATAGATGATCTAGATCAATTAGTAAATATCTCTCTTCTCTTGTCAGCAGCCTTTTCTTTACTGGATTCCCCCCCAAAATATAAATCAAACCTGATCACACCAAATACGATCAATGGAATCTTTATTCTACTAAAGAAACTCTATTTCAAGATAAATGCAGGAATTAAATCAATAGAATTGATAAGAAAACAAACAAAGAAACCAAGAATAATACAAATTAAACAAATTCACCATAAGACCTCATATATATATATATTTCCTTATCATGATGCCTCATGTATCTAATGATTTTCCTACTTAAGCTAGCCCTAAAATTTGGGTCATTTGTATTCTGAATTACAATACTCATAGCTCATAGAGTGAATCTTACAAAGATGTCTAAAAAGTATCACATACTATTCAAAATAATAGAATGAGAGTAATTTCAACAGCTATCTATTCATTACATCAGATAACTGGAAAATTCCACCATCATCATGCAATCTGAAAAATCATCCTCAAAATATGATCATCTGATTACAGAGAGAGGTTTCAAACCTACTGCATGTAGCAACCACCTGTATAGAAAGATCAACCTGTTTAGAAGGACCAGATCACTGTTGCCTTTGAACAAGGTTTCTCATTGAAAACTCTCCTACTGGAGACTGGAACAAAAAGACCGCCAGCCAATGAAGACTACCTCATTTGTCTACCTTGAGCAGTCTTTACTTGTAGATTTGACTGTATACAACCATGGACCGTAGTAGGTCCATAATACAACCATGGACCGTAGTAGGTCCATAATACAACCATGGACCGTAGTAGGTCCATAATACAACCATGGACCGTAGTAGGTCCATAATACAACCATGGACCGTAGTAGGTCCATAATACAACCATGGACCGTAGTAGGTCCATAATACAACCATGGACCGTAGTAGGTCCATAATACAACCATGGACCGTAGTAGGTCCATAATACAACCATGGACCGTAGTAGGTCCATAATACAACCATGGACCGTAGTAGGTCCATAATACAACCATGGACCGTAGTAGGTCCATAATACAACCATGGACCGTAGTAGGTCCATAATACAACCATGGACCATAGTAGGTCCATGATACAACCATGGACTGTAGTAGGTCCATAATACAACCATGGACTGTAGTAGGTCCATAATACAACCATGGACAGTAGTAGGTCCATAATACAACCATGGACCGTAGTAGGTCCATGATACAACCATGGACTGTAGTAGGTCCATAATACAACCATGGACTGTAGTAGGTCCATAATACAACCATGGACAGTAGTAGGTCCATAATACAACCATGGACCGTAGTAGGTCCATAATACAACCATGGACCGTAGTAGGTCCATAATACAACCATGGACCGTAGTAGGTCCATAATACAACCATGGACCGTAGTAGGTCCATAATACAACCATGGACCGTAGTAGGTCCATAATACAACCATGGACCGTAGTAGGTCCATAATACAACCATGGACCGTAGTAGGTCCATAATACAACCATGGACCGTAGTAGGTCCATAATACAACCATGGACCGTAGTAGGTCCATAATACAACCATGGACCGTAGTAGGTCCATAATACAACCATGGACCGTAGTAGGTCCATAATACAACCATGTCTCAATGGATGCTACATAACATCAGCAACAATCAAATCTGCAATCTAAAAACGTTGGCATGCAAGCAAGGTTTGCAGCTAGCTAGCTAGCCAGCCAGCCAGCCAGCCCATGGCTTACATGAATGAAGCAGACATCTTACAATGGTTCACCCAGCCCGCCCGCCCCCTTACATCAATTAAACTAGATTTTAAGACTGACACATGAAGCCAGGCTCCTCATCAAAACAAAGTAAAGCTTCTTCATCTCCATTTTGAACTGTCCATCTTGGGGCCACTTGCCCTACCTACTCCATCCGTTCTATTTCACAAGCATTTGGTGATCAAAACAAAAACAACACAAAGTGTAACGTCATGGTTTATTTAGCGCATTTGTAAGTCAATTAGCTTTCATATCCCAGACACAAAGCCCCATTCCCCAAAGTAGACTGCTCCATTTCTTTGATATCCAAGTATGATCCTTTAAACCCAATACCACGCCAGTGACGTCTATAGCCTCCCACTAGTGCCTCTCAGTGATGCATACACCCCCTAACACACCGGCAAAGTTATTTCTTTTTCCAACGATGTCGTCATCTATTCGTCTTTCTTTTTATTTCATTCAATAAAAACTGAACTAAAGAAACTAAAATTCAGAGGGATCTACCAAAGACTATTTTCATCGAATGTGTGATCTTTCTAAGTCAATGCCGTCACTGTGGCAAAGACCATCTAACTAAAATACAAAGACAAATTTCTTTGCTTTCTTAGTAGACTTTCTACAGTTTAAAAATGATGCTGTCACAAACACAGTGTATATCTCAGTCATATCTTCAGAGTTCGTTTTTTTCTTCTGCAAGCAAACTTCCCTATTTATCCAGGATTTCTAACAGACCCTACAGGTATCCTAAAAACAAATGATGTGGCCTGAAGATGAGCTGGAAGCACATCTATTTAAGAACAACTTTCAAGTAAGTCATTGTCACAATCTAAAGAGCATTAGTCATCAACCTATGGCCACGTTCAATTTTTATTTGCCGCTTATATATCCCTTGTGTCACATTGCTTTTCTAATTGCTTATGCAGTATTTTGCCTTTTCTTCATAATGCTACTACATAAAGATAATGAAAGTGTTTATGGCCATTTCCAACTGACGTTGGGTCATCAATTGAAGTTTTAACACACAGTGGGCAATGTTGATGATTTCATTATAGTTTCTTCACTGATCAGTGGATGTTCCATGTCAGTGTGTCCTCAGGCAAACCTAGCTCAAAATACATCATATACACACTTGTCTGCATTAGGAGGACTAAGGCAAAACTGGTTATAGGGTAAGAGGCTTCTGAAGACAAACTTAGGATTTATGTGCTAACTCCCTTCAGTTTAAAAACTACATAAAAAAGACAGCATTCAGGAGTCAATGGTAGAAACTAAACTTCCCACATGAAGTTGACGTTGTAAGCAGACAACAACTGTAGATGAAGTAGAGAATTCTGACTAGCCCGTCCTATCTGAGTAAATAAAAGTTGGCTTAGATTTGAATGTTCATGTTTAATTTATAAGCATGTCACACTCAGAGGTACAACATTTTCATACAGAAGTTTGACTTCTGAGAAGAAAACAATTGTATATGACGTAAGAGCAACCTGGCTAGCCCCTGTCCCGTCTGAGCAACATCATTTGACCTAGCTTTTTAAACATTTCCCATTGAAGCATGAATGAACTGTGTGCATGTTAAGGAGGCATAAGTACACACAGGAGAGGAGAGTCCTAAACCATGACTCAGTTTAGACCCATTCAGATGGTTGGTCAAACACTTGTTTCAACCCTAGACTCTAGACCGGTCAACATAGGATGACTCCTTGACTGGCTGGCCCACCTCGACCAGACCACAAGCACCGCCTCTCAAGGACCTTACCCAACAACCTACTTCAAGGGTGATGCATCTCAATGGCTATCTTCTCATTAGCCAAAAATAAACGGAACATAAAGTGTTTACACCATAACCCTACCCTACATTTTACTGAGTGATGCATCGCAATGGCTCTGTTCTCATTAGCCAAAAGTAAACTGAACTTAAACTGCTTACATCATAACCCTAGCATACTGTACAATCAACATGTGGATGCATCTCAATGGCCCTGTTCTCATTAGCCAAATCTCAGCTAAGCTTCAAATGTTTACAGCCATCTAACAAATTTGCTACAAGTTGGTATACTGGATGGCTTGAATGATACCCTGTGGTTTAAAGAGGATGTCATCTTATGGGATACTTTAATCCATCACATCGGAGGGACAGAGGATCTTTATGATCTCTCATCTCAGGGCAGATTGTGGAGCTAGAAATTCACGAGTCTGACCTATCAATTACTCGACAACGATTTTCTCTCTCTCTCTCTCTCTCTCTTCACCACTTTTTTGTGTTTAAATGACAGCCCTTTCAATTTACAAGATTAGATACCATGAACTTTACTATGCATCCTACGACACTGACCTTTATAATATTAAAATGTACCTGCCACCCCATCCCCTCTCTCTCTCTCTCTTTCTGTCTTTCTTAATTTCTTCTTATATCTCCTCTTCTGTCTTGACTCAATACCGTCTAGCTCCATCTATCTTTCAGTCTGCCTCTGTCTCCTGTCTGTCTCCCTTCTCTCTCTCTGTCTCTCTCTCTATCTCTTCTCCCTCTCCTTCCTTCTCTCTTTACCTAAGTGTAAGTATCTGACATCATAGAAGTCTTGAGGACCCTTTGGCTAGGCCTGTAACCTCCCATAAGTGTTGGTGATGCGTCAAATTAGAAATCAACCATGAATCCAGACACTTGATTATACAAGTGCTGGCAATCTACTCCACGCATTTCATGTAAAGTACTTGCCCTACTATTTCAAATGCTCAATGTTTTGCCAACGCTCAATGTTTTGCCAATATAATAACTATAAACATTTAAAAATTAATTAATTATACAAAATTATTACCATTTAATTGTCATTCTTAGTTTAGTAGATATTCTAACATTTGCAATTATAATGCCAGGGGAATTTCTGATTATCGTATTGTATGTGGAAAATCCTCCTATTTTGATTATTTTATATATTTGCTAAAGTGTATCACAAATTATAGCCTGCTATCCTTACTTATTCATTTCTCAAGTTTGAACTAAAGTCAATTAGGCATTCTGAGCTGCCCCAAGAAACGAGAATGACTGATTGATTGATTGCACAGGTCCACATGTTATGTCTCTTGTGATTAAGAAGGAATTCATAACTGTCAAAATGATTCTCTTTCAACTGAATATGAAATGACATACGTAGGTGTGAAAATGGTTCTGTCACTCTGGAAATATGTCTAATTCTCATTGTTAAAACAACAACAAAATCACCCAGTTCAATTTTATACAGTGTTTTGGGTCCACTCTGTAGGATACATCAATTCCTCTGCCCAAAAGTTCCACACCAAAATAAAAGTCTCTTTATATGACCTTTGGTAGATGTGTTTCTTGATATCACTTCATTTAATAGTCAATGGCAATATCATATTTTGATGAAATAAATGGATAAAGAACTTGTGTCATACATTTAACAGAATTGCCCATTATCTACTACCAAATATAACAGAGGTTAAAGTAAATACGGTAAATGTAACTCTTGTAAATCTTGAATCTTGCTGTTCACCTTCACTTATAAACCACCTTCACCTTCCCTTTCAGGCCTTATATCTTCCTACAAGACAATCATCTGAAGGCAGTAGATTACTTTCTCACTTTACATCTCAAATATGTGTTTACATAAGATCTGTAGCAGTGAAGAAGCATATCAACAAACTATCATTCAATACCACTTCCTGTTCTGACAATCGCAGCAACACATATATATCTATTTCTTTGACACGCAACCTACAGCTAAGCTTGGTATCTTCCCACGCTGATACTGCTGCAATTGAAACACAGGATTTAGGTCGAGTTCAGGGAAAGAAATGGATCTTCTACCATCTTTATCTTCTCACTACACTTACAATGGGAAGAGCATTTCCTTTGAAAGCTATGTCATATAGGATTACTTTGGAAATAGTCTTGTATTTGTGTCATTAGCACTTGAACTCTAGACTTATGTAATGTATCAAGACTGAGAGTCCTCATCAATAGTCCCACAGGTGCATACCTATGTTTGTGCCTTTGGTGTATTTGAGTTTCAATATCTTGTGATTTCTTTTAACCTTTTAATGATCCAAACAAATCCACAATGCTTGAGGATTGAAGTCTACTCCATGATCAACAAGTCAAGATGTCTACATTTTCTTTAAAAGCAAAGTTCTATTGATAATACTTGCAGCATATGAAACCTAAAGCTTAGCCTGAAACTGATTGAAGAGTTCCTAGTTGGCTGACCCTTAGTGGGTTAATCCTTTTATCGTTCTCTACTTGATTGCTGGAAGATGTTTTTCATCTTGTGATCTGTCTCCTGAAAGACTACCAAGGCCAAGCCTTGCCTCTAAGAACACAGCTTACAATAATATTTCTTGAGAGGTTTCCTCTGTCCTTCATAAAACAGTGAAAGTGAGAGCATCCTTGTCCTACCCTGAGGAATGCTACTTCATTTCAGGATAAGACTTTGTGACGAAATAGCAAAAGATAAACAGGAAAAGAAAGAGATGTACACAAACAAAACAAAAAGAAAAGAAGACATAAGAAAAATTAGACAAAACATGCTACCTAAGATATGAATATTCCTTCATGCTCTATTTTTGACACTAAAATCAGTTTTGTTTGACTAGAGATGGTTTTAAGCGGAAAGATGGCACATTAGCATTAAAGATAAACTTGAGTTCTGGTAAAAAAAGAAGATGAATTCTCACAGAATCTAACGAAACTTACACTGAATGTTCAAGATTACAAATAAATGTCATGTGCCAAACAATTTTGGAAGAAAATGTATACTGGCCGAGTAATGAGCATAGAAAGATAAGGAAATCAGGGTAGTACTAGCCCCAACACCATGTGTGTTTTCCCATATACATCTTTCTGTGTAAATGATTGTTACTTTACCAAGACTCTGCCAAATTTATGATGATTTTGATGACTCCAGAACCCTGCATTACACATCATTACTTACATGCTATATGATCAACTTTTCTGATCCATTCCACACCTTTTCTTTCACAATGCAATCGCATTACCAGAACTCAAGTTTATCTTTAAATGTATCCCTTTTGACAATATTTTCCCTTGGAGCTACATGATACATTAAAACATATCTCCTCAAGCAGACAATCAATTCTCTACTAATTAATCCTTGCTGCTTGTAAATATCGGCTTGCATGGTGATGTAGATAGACAGTAGGCTTGCGGATGCACCGTGCTTGCGGATGCACCTCAAGAAAGATTACCAATAGTCCTTTTCAGGACTCCTCAATCCTCCCTCTCTCTCACATGGTGCATCTGCAAGCCTACTGTATAATTAATCCTTCTAGCGCCACAATGGCTATGTTGAACCTACCTTGCTTGTAGATCCTTGATGAGTTTCTTGGCTTTATGGTATTTCTTCTCGAGACCGGCGTGCTGTTCCTTGGAATCGTTGAGGGCATTTTTCATGCTGTCTATTTGGGTTTGTATCTTCTCCAAACCCTTCTCTAGGATAGCCATCCGACGATCCTGGGCTTCTATATGGTTCTTCAGACGCTTCTCCTCTGTCTCCCAGCCTTGGGCTTGCAGAGCCTATCATCAAACACACAGATACACTTAGACTGGCTATAAAGGCCATGTCTATATAGGCTATCCAAGGGAGGGAGAACAGGGGGCTACTATCTGTACACAGGTGGACTTTAAAGACAGGTTCTACAACATATTTATGACTCACAGAAGATAATGCAGGTGATCACTATGCACAGGCGGCCTTCAAAATGAGGTGGTCACTAAGAAAGGTTTGACTGTATAATGTAAACCATTACCAACAATGGTATTTCATCAATGTTAACTTTTGTGTTTTTCCCCTTCTTAATTATACTAGTAAAATAGAATATAAAACTTTTCACTTGTTTCAACAAAAATTTTTTTTTTTACTGATTTTTAGAAAAAAATATATTAAAGCATTCAAAAGTGAGAAATTTCAGCCCAAAGAGGGAGTTAAGAAAAAGAAAAAAAAAGAAGATTTCCAACCGACTGACCCATGATTTGGCACCTAAAGGGCAATACAACATCTTTTTTTTTTTAAGGCCTAGTAGGAACATCTACCAATTCATTCTCAGTGTTGGTCATTCAAAGAACTACTGTTTTCACCCTCTACTTGCAATTCATATCTGCATAAAAAGTTTTTTTTCACTTAAAAATTTGTTTTCTTAAAGGTCATTACATCTTGCATGAACAACGTTTATTAGTAAGTGATGATTTCTAGACATTGATTAGTTCACTCACATCACCTGTCCATCTCTGCAAGCAGATGTACAACAGGTGAACACTACACAATAAAGTATACATACGATTGCTTCTTCCATATAGTTTTAAATTGATACACATGTAGCTGAATCATAGGCATGTTCCTTGACTCATCTCTCCTGGTTCAGTTTATCATCAACTCAAAGATTTCAGGAGTGCTCCATCAGGTTGATATGATGGATCTTTAATCAAATATTCATGATCTATAACTGTTAGGTTTTCATGGAGAAACTGGTAACTTTGGCAACACATGGTAAGATATTTTAATTACTTTCAAATGTTTCAATAGAACAGTTGCATTCTATATCCTTGCTTGAACTTACACCTTTCCTAGCTTTCACTGTAATATGGGTATATCCTTGTACAATTTATAATGATTATATTCATCATTTAACCTAGGGTTAAGCCATTGACGGCAGGAACAGGGTGGTTCTGTATAAAACTTTCTTTGAAGGCAACCTACGGTATACCTCAACCTGTAGTGAACACATTGCCTATGGGACAACCTGATGGCTTCTGTATAAAGCCTATAGGAATAAGAGACTTCAGGGGGGCGTTTCACAAAACTTGTCATCAGTGACAAATGACAGATTTTGTTATAAACCACTGAAATCCTTGCTTCTGATTGGTTATCGGCAGATTTGTCACTGATTTTTGTCATTTGTCATTGAAAAAAGGCTTTGTGAAACAGGTCCATGTTGTTATCAGGTTAAGAAGGGAACCTACCTGAATCTTAAGGTTGGGTATCTCTGCCTCAGCCATGGCAAGCTTGTACTGTGTCTCCTTGAGTTTGATCCTAAGGTTAGCATAGTCTTCAGCTGTCGCCTCTGATGGTGAGACCACTGAGCTTCCACCACCGCTGCTTAGGGTATCATCTAGATCATAGGTACCCTGGATCAGCTGATTATCATCAGGGGATTCCCCGGGCATCTCTACTGATGGGGTATCCTCATCAGGGGAAGGCTGGTGGTGGGAGGAAAACAAGGATATGATAAACAGGCCTGGGAGAAATATTCAAATTTTAAATTATTGGCCTGGGACTAATATTTAAATAGTCCTATGATGGGAATGGGACTAATATCCAAATATTCAAATTAGTAGAATAATTAGCCATCTATCTACCAGTACTCAAATGCCATTGTTAACCCCATTTGAAAATTAGTCTATTCACTAATAGTGACTGGGATCTTTGAATAGCTATACACTGTGAAAAAAGTCATATTGGCTAAACAAAGACAATAATGTAATCTATAATTCACATTTATGAATAATTAAATATCTGAAACATTCAAATACATTTTTAATTAAATTTCAAATACTGACAATGTAATTACCCTAAGTTCTTAAACTAGTCATGTCCACAAGACAACAATTGTCCTGACTGTGTAGATAAAAGTCTATAATTCCTGGTCTGTGTGGATGCATCATTCAACTTGATTACGTCATCAAAAAGGTCATCAGTAAAATTCTTGTAACTTTGCTCCACTTGGACTTAAAACAGTGCATGACAAAAACCACCATTGAATGGCTCTATCCTGTTGAATAATAATACGTTTTACGCTAGAAGTGATCGATGCTTTGATTATATGACCTTTTGGGAATGATCCAATTTGGTTGGTTGTTGAATAATTTAAGTCCTAAAAGAAAAGTTTCATCGCCATTGCTTGTTTGACTTAAAAAAAGGTCTCAAGTCCCGTACAGTATTACGATCTAAATGTGAAAATTAATTCCCACCTCCCCCCCCCCCAAAAAAAAAACAAACACAACAACAAACAAACAAGGGTGGAAACAATGTAGGCAATGCATGACTTCAACATTTTTTCTTCTGTAGACATGAATATAGAAGGAACAAAAATGTTGACGACAGCACTAACATAGAGCAGAAAGACATAAGGAAATGACACACAAGGGTCCATGAAATATGGGGACAAATTCTAAGAAAAAGACGCAAAAGGGAAAAGACAAGACGAAAACAATCAATTAGCTGAAAGAAAATAACAAGTAGCAGTAAGAAGTGAGAAGACCTAATGAATGAGATGACAGGTATCAGAATACAGGATCAGTATCAAGTTACACGTTTGGATTCTTAACTCATGCATGCACAAAAAACTCAGAATTCCTCTTTTGTCTTTTCAACGACATGGCTTATCCAAATCAGTTTCCAAGTCATTTCATTGAAATTCTATTCCAGTTTCTTCAATTTCAGAAGCTATACATTAAATTAAAAATAAAAACCAAATATATCTAATTTAGATAAGTCAGCCAACTTTTAAGAGCTGTATAAATAAATTTAAAGCCCATCTGTACTGGTTTACAGGAGTGATTAGACCACCCTGCAAGGTCACCGACAGGTGGTTATCTCATCAAATCAGCTCTCACTTAACATAAGAAAAAGAGGATCATGGGGGACCAATGGTCACCGATTAGGCATTGTTTGCTATATAGAGGGCGCAAGTAGCTATAAATAGTGCAGTAGGGCTGAAATCTTTGATTTATTTAAAATTTGAGATTTGTTTCTAAAAGAAATTCCTACCACTGGATGTCTATTAGCTGGTGGAGGAGGAGCGGGATGAGATGGAGGAGCACTGATACGATCCCGATTGAGAGATTGATTGATAAGAGCTGCTACCTCACTGTTTTCACTATCCTTCTCACGGCCAATCAGAAACCTGCATGGAATGATATAAAACATTGATAAACATCAGTCATTTCTTATTACTCTCTATAGTTTACACTCAAAGACCATACTGAATAACAATAGGAGAGATTTCATTAAGATAAAAAAAAAAATAAAACAAAATCAAAAAGGACTTTGTTTGCTTCAGTCAATTTTAGACATACCGGTAAAGTATACTCACCAATAAACTGTAAATATAATCAAATGCCAGTACAAATATGAGCCCTACACATCTAAATATATTTATGAACTAGTCAAATATAGTCCCGAAAACCCCTTGTGACTCATCTGAATGAATGGAGGTGATTTAAAGGAATTATCAATAACAATGCTAGGTGACTGGTATATTCTATCTTGAAGAATTATACTGTATGAATCATCAAAGTATGATCACTATTGTTATAAACTATACAAAAGAGTATATATCAAACTAGTATGACCTCATAATATCCCTTCTAAAGGATGGGTCATGGATGCACGGCTTAAAATGAGTTCTTTTCATACAACGCTCAGAATCCCAGCTGATGATCGAGAGCTACAAGGGAGTTCACTAGTATTCTCTTCCAAAAGTGACATTACCCCTTTCTGGCCCTTACAGATAACATATCTAATCTTCTTTTTCTTTTTCTTTTTTTTTTTTTTTTGGGGGGGGGGGGGGGGGGGCTCATTCCTGTCTTAAGAGGGCAGCATGCCACTAGAACCAAGGATGAAGTAAACAAAAAAGAAGTAGTTCAAGGGATCTATCAAATTTGTTTTTTGCTCCCCAGACAGGGCAAGGCTTACAGAGCAAATCTGATAATTGGTATTTTCGTCAGTAAATATGTATATTTATCGGTTATAAAATCTTCCACCTACGCAGTTTGCATGGAATGGGCAAGGTTCTTAAGAAGTAAAGATACAAAGCCCCTAGACACATTAGAGTACAAAGACTCATTTGGATCTGAGTGAGGTTAAGATGAAGGATTCTACCAGTGGGTGGACCCCCGTTACTCAATACAACATCAAAAGATTCCAAGCACATTAAAGAGTCTACACAAAACACCCACATTGAAGGCTAATAATCTTTGAGGAGCTAGTCGCTCTCTTTTCACCGTTGCTTTAAAGGACCAATAACAAGGATTAAAAAGATCAGATGCCTTGACTCCAGATGGTTTCCATGGTAACGGGTAGCTGAATGATGCCTTGTAAGATGGAGGAGAAATAAGAGCGTCTGAAGGGAAAATAGGACAAGCCGTATCGATGGAGGAATGAAAAGAGTTGCATCTCCTTTCAACGAGAAACAGTGAGAGGGATATTGAGCAAATGACAAAGAGGGAGGCAGGCAGGCATCGGAGGCAAAGATCCTTCCAAACAAAAACCAAAGTGCACGAGGGAAAGGTAGGCGTGTCTTCCTGTTGCTAGGAGCAAAGAAGGTCTTTTTTCTCTCTTTGAGGTTACAAGGATGTGAGGGGGCTGCCATGTTTATTAAAGAGAGAAAATGTTCAGTTAAAGCTGATAAAAGGGACAAATTTCAAAGGGACTTTTCATCTCGATTGCTACTGTATATGAAGGTCTTTTCAGCATGCCCTATATTCTGATATCAAGCACTAAAGAGCTATCATTAAGCACCAAGGGAGGGAATCAAAGTGGCAAGCTAACAGCCATTTCTTTTCATTTCATCATATTTATTTCTTCTTGATATACTTCCTCTTTAAGTGGGTGGTTTATTGCTTTATTATATGTACTTACCCTGCTAGAGGTAATAAGGAGTTACAAAAACAAAATGATGGTATAGATATTTTTATTTGGTCTCATCATCTATTTAAATTATTGGATACACTTCTATTTCAAATTTGCTTTAAAGGTACTATGTCCTATTTGCTGATGAAGACATACCTAATGATTCATAATATCATCTGATTGGAGCCAGAAGGGTGTTAACTCATATGCTTTAACATGGAGTGAATGCCCTTCTGGCTCTGATCAGATGTGTCTTCTCATACTCCCTATATTTCTCTGTTTTATTTAAAATCTTCATCATCCCACTGATAAATCTATCCGTCTGCATGCTTTTTATCTACCTACCCTTCACATACCTATCTTTATGTCAATCTATACATATCTATTCTTCATCTGGCTCACAATTAATATCTTCATATTCATCCCCATTTGAGTGCCTCTGATTCCATCGCTCTAACTCTAATAATCTTGTCTATTTCTATGCCTTAAATCTCTCATATTAAGGTTAATGCTACCCCAGATGATCATGTGATATGATTAAGTCCAGTATCGTCTGCATATTACTATTACTAATTAATGAGTAGCTTATGGGGATTAATACTGTCCAGTCATTTGAAATCACCCCCACACAATATGATCATTATATCGACGATGATTATGTACTCCAGTTTCCGCATCAACATAACTTTTTCAAAGGACTTTGCAGCACTGAAGCTGCAGTTATGATGAAGTTATGCAAGTTTACAACGTTTTTTCTTTTATCAAAGAATTAAACCTTTCTTGCTTCTTAAATAGTTAGTACCATATTTCGTCGCTGTTTTCACGAAGTGACGGTAGTGAAAAAAAATTGCATTCACTTTGCGTTACGATTTTCCTCACTACCGTCACTTCGTGAAAACAAGGACGATTTAGTGATTTACAATTTCTTTTTGTCTATTCTATGTATTACAAAATACACGTGTACAAAATAAAATCATAACAAAACAGAAAAAGAGAAATACAAGAATGCTTTTCAGTATGCATATTAAACAACTAAAAAAGAAGGATCATATTTTAGATATTCTAAAAATGAAATAGCTTGTAATTTAAAACAGATACCCCAAAATATCAGTAGAGAGGGCACCAGGACGAAAAGAGATTGTTTAGAACGATGGAGAGGGAATAACAGGGATACCAGTTGATTTCTCCAGATGAGCCTGTAAAGAGACCCAGACATGTTGGAGCCTCGTATGTTATGTATAATATGAAGCATGATAAAGCCTGATATGGAAAGGTGTCAGGGTCTGAAATCAGGCTATAGCCTGAATACTGGCATCCCTGGGACATAATTATAGCGCATAGTGGTGTAGCAATGAAATCTCAAAATGCTTTACAAGAACATTAATACATGTGAATGTTTTATAATATTTTATACAGACAATCACATTTTATCAAACTTAAGATTTATTAAAAAGCTCAATGGTATGAGACCCTAGAATGCAGGAGCTAATGCCACAAAGGACCATTTTTCATTTACAAGCATAAGGATATAGGAGGGACTGACAGAGAAGCTTGTTTTAATAGAGTTGCATATATTCCTTTCTTATAGATGATTTCAACATATCTGTAGTATACCACTTCATTTATCAAGAATTTGCCACTGGTAAACATTTCAAATCAATTTCAAACACTGTTGAAAAATTCCATAGTTACAGATAACAATTTCTCGTTCTCACCATTGATTGCGTTTAAAATAAAATATAATTAAATTGTCTACAATAGCTATAAAACATAATTTTCTCTATCATTACTTTATTAGAATTATATTCAATGTCATATGTACAGGGAATAGGGGAAAATAGTCATGAAGCAGTTTGTAATATTTAAAATATGGGTAATTCAAAAAACATAAAACATTGAAAAAGATTTGTAAATGCCTGAAAAGTAAGTTTGGACCCTTTTTAAAATTAGGAAACAACCTGCATATTCTTAATTACGACATTCTCTTCCCAAAAATACATGTTTCCAACGATCCTCAAAACATTTCCCAAACAGCCATTTTTTAACCAATTGACAACGGACTATATCACTCAAAACCTAATTCAATGCTAACGACCCATTTCCAATGGTTGCATGACGGAACCCCCTGTGTCTGGTAAGCAGAGAGTGCTATTCTATCTACTATTAACCCAGCTAATTTGATTTCCATGTATTAGGTTACACACCTGAGAGGATGATAACCAAACTAAAAAACAAATCATCTCGTCCATCTATATACCACACCCAACAGGCATGACTTACCCGGCCCATCCATCCATTCATTGTCTCCTGATAGACACAAGGTAATTACACCTCTTTTATCTTGACATGGAGTTAAATGCCCGTCTGGCTCTCAACACACAATAATTAGGACCTTTTCCTGGGTATCTAGATCTCCCCATCTTATTTCTTTTGGACAATTAGTGAGCTTTAATATGTGACCCATACCTGTTTTGCTCTTATTTATTTCATAACCAGTTTACCTTTGAGAACATTTCAGCATACTGCAAAACAGAACAAAAACTTGCACAAGCTGCAGAATTTAATTTAATTCTTGTATTTCCTTGCATGAAATTCTCACAAATCTAGACCCCTCTTGAAATTCACAAGTTTTCTTGAGAGCAAAAGTATCTGGTTTTCACAACTGAAAGCTGTTAGAAAGTATAATATTCATACACCACACCACACTTAAACCAGTCATTGTAACACAAATCTACTGCCATGAACATCATTTGTTAGATACCAGTAGAGAATAAAAAGCTGTTCTAATTGGACGGTAACTTTTGACTATGGAGCTGGTATATCCATGATTTACATTGACAGTATAAATCATCTGCTCGGAGCCAGAAGGGCATAAACTCATCCAGTTTCACTTTTTTGGAGGGATTAATACCTTTCTGGCCCTCAAGAGATGAAATGTTAGTTTTACATGTTGCAATATCTAAGCTGCATTTGGATCCACAAGATCTGTTGTTTGATGCCATACCAAGGATCATCTCCAAACTTGTTTATCAACAATGATACCATTGTCATCTCACCCCGCATGCTGTTCATTAATAAATAGAAACAATATGACTTACGGATAGACTGGAGCTGACGACATAACTCTGAACTTGTCAAGTTTAAAGTAATATTCCCAGCAGCCATTCAAGAATCGGAACCAGATTCAACATGACATGAGAATGATTAAGGTTTGTGGCATCCCACCACCCCTTCCTCCAGACATACACTACAATGACAGGTGCATCTATGCAAATAAGATAGCCTTGATACAGAGGGTATCACATCACTGTCATACCAGGTCTGTATGCATTGGACAGTCAATCAGGCCTTTCATACTACAGAAAATCTATATAACATTTCTATTTCTATTACTCAACAGTGTAAAAATAACCCTCGTATCTGCATACAAAGCATGAGAAGCAAGGGCTACAGCCAAGACATTAGTTCCTTATAAGAAGAAGAAAAAGTTTCTGTAAAGAGAAATTAAGAATTCCTTGCAATGAGAACAACCCCATTAGCTATTCCATTAACTTTTTCACACTATCATAAACATAATACCGTCTTAATCACCTATCCTAAAGAGTACCCCCATTAAGAATCATCAATGGTGATGAACTAATCTACTATCTCACCTCTTATCTTATATCTTACTTCAACTGACAGACCCGTAGGTGAATGCTTCCAAATAAGACTTTTGACTGACACATTTCTTTATATACATTTAAAGCAATGGGTCTGATCATTGACAATCATTCCTTATGCCAAAGATGTGCATGTTTCTACAACTTTGTTCCTGAGACAGGTTCCACTGAGTTATTAGTAAAACTGTCAAATATTTCAATGACAATCATAACTGGGAACATAAACAGACTTCCTCATAATTCAGATCTGTTTAACCATGTTTATTTCCTTGCTTGATAAAAAGTAGATGATATCTAAAAGTTTTCTTTTGGGGTTTCGAGGACTAGAAACTGTGACGCAAAGTAATCTTTAGTGTCAGGAAGATAACTTTGAAAGAGTCATTTTGGATTCTAATTTTCAGCCAATAATACTAATCTGGAAATATCACAAATAAAATTGTCCAACTATGGTGTTAGTTTCTCATAATGACATGAGATCTCCTTCCCTTTGATATGATTATGTCTTCATTAGATTTAAATGACAAAACATCTCTGAGGAATGGAGATGATTTCTGCAATGAAACTCACTAAAAGGTCAGAAACAATCCTAACTGGAAGTCTTCAATGATACCTCCTGAGTATTAGCTGTCTCCTGACCTTTCTCTATTCTCTCAAATCTCATATTTTCATAGAGCAAGAAAATGAGAAAAGACATGTTCATTCTTGTGAAACAGGAGCTAAAACATCTGGGGCTGTTCTAAAGAGTGGCGGACATTCAGACGTATCATGACATACGATAGTCTGAAGCTACAAGGGCTATGAAAAACAATGTTAGTTAATTCCTTGGCTCTCGATCAGCAGGAAATATCTCCTTAACACTCCCTTTGTAATCATGCTTTATATTTACTTACAGGCAAACATATTCGACTTGTTTCTTCCAGTCTACTAAAAAAGAATTTTTAAGAAGTTTTTCTCAGCATCACCATTCTACAAAACTTTTCATTTTGTTTTCTTCACCTTATTACTATGTCTCATTTCATTGGCATTATCATCATTTTCAACAGTTTTCTTCTGTTCAAATTCTTCTCATTTGCTTTCTCGTTCAACTAACTTCTAATTCTCCTCACAATCATTTTCAATATTCCAATTCATCTGTTCTTGCATTCACCTTTCTTCCTCGCCACACCACCCTCAAAACAGATTTGTTATGCATGCATACATCTAAAAAAAAGTCATGAATAAGTCATGCAGGAATGTTATGACATGAAAAAAAAACAGAAAAACAGTGATAACCAGACGATCGAGACTTGACATTTTGCCGATCATATTGATAAAAGGAAACCAGAAGGCCATCAGGTTTGAAATGCCAATTACTTTCCAATGTGTTTAGCTTAAATTAAAGAATATTGATATGACGTGACAACATGCTTCTACGAATCTCACCGTGTATTGCATGGATATTTTGTTTGTGTCTGTTTAAAGTACAATTCTGGAATACTCTATACTGCTATGCATGTATGCAATGTATTTTCACTGATCGTGTTTGCACAAAATGGGAAATAAAGACATGTCACCCATGCTTTAACTAATTAACTTATTATTAAATGCAAGAAATGATGTGGGGTGAAAAATCATGAAAAACAAATAAAGTAACAATATTTTAAATTGTTGATGCTTAATATCTCATACATTTGGTCATTTTGAGTATCCCCTTCCAAACATTGACCATTGAGTAAGCTAGGTGTATACCCTACACCAACCTGTATAACACAAGATGACCAACACACTAAACAATTAGCATATCTTAGTGAGATCGAGATCGAAAGAGAGAGAGAGAGAGATTGTGTTTACCGTTTACTGGTAAAGGTGGATCTGTAGATGACTTCTGCCATTCTTACGTTGCAGGTTTCTCTAAATCGATACCAGTTTAATTCACTGTTGAACCAAGCAACAAAACACAGGCATAAAACTCCCTCCAGATAACTAACGATCCAGATCACGTGTCTTGCTATTGGGTTTGAAATCTCACATTGACGTATCCATTCAATGAATTCCAGGTATCCACCAGAAGGTTGCCATACGATCTACCAAAATGGATTCAATTGGTTTGGTAGAAAGCCAGTGAGCTAGCAATGATAACTTCTATTGTCTAGAAATGCTTGCAAGACAAGCCTTAGTTTTCACCATCCTAAGGAGTGAGCTCATTAATTGGCTTTTTTGTCAGAGTACTGCTAGACTTTGCTTGTTGATTCTGAGGTTTCTTATTGAGGAAATGATGAGAAGCAGCCAAAGTCAACACTCCAGGTCCAGGTCCATTGAGTAATAGAAGTGTAGATTGATAAAGTCTTTTCTCCCTTACAAAATGATACTTGATACCACTACTCAACATCCATAGACAAGCTAGAACTAGCTTCCTGATGTAGAATATGATGAAATGCTTAAAATTTGTTGATATCAAATCTAATAGAAAGCAACAATGCAGTTGACAGCACTTTTAATGTGGACTAGATGAAATGTAATAAATGCCTGATCCTAAATCTGATATAGCTGGTGAAAGCGAGCTCTAATCCATATTCTGCAGCAACTTTGTACGGATGTCGAAGCTCATTCACACACTCTGTATTCCTGCTACAACGTCAAGAGACCAATGGCTTTAGAATCACAAAATAGCAATGTCCACTAGCTAGGTAGCATGTATACTGCCTGCATCACAGTTGCTTCCAAATCGCAGCCGGTACGTCCCAGCTAGATGAAGTGTCCTATTAGCCGTATATTGATGACATCCAAACTAAGCCAAGTTGGATCAAGCGCTAAAGGTTACCATGTAGCTCTTGACATATAAACACAGGCTGTTCCGCTTTACAAATGGCACTCTCAAAATGGACTCACTCCCGGCCCAAAACAGAGGCGGTTACTGAGTCGATGGTGACTAAACACAGCTATGAATCATTGACTCATGTCTACAAGGGGTGGAGGAACTGGACAAAATAATCTGCTAATTTTCTTCCAACTACCCATAAAGATCATCGCCGTAAATGAACCTGGTCTCTTAGCAGGAAGAACTCAAGTTGAGAAGTCCAAGGAGATAATTAAGTGATGAACAATCTCCTCTTTTGTTGCTACGTGTCTGAGGAAGTTTGACAAACTTGAAGAGCTTTTAGTCTCTCACGATTCCAGCTTGCGTGACAAAACCTACTCCAGAGGAAGTTGAAATGTGATAGATATGAAACCATAAACCATGATGAAACCAAGTCTTAGAAGATAACAAATAAATATTCTTTCTAGGTCTCTGGAGATATTTTATGATTCCATTCAACACTTTCAGAACTCTATATAGTTATTTATTGTATTTTCAAGTACTTTTGAAACAAATATTTCATGGGAAAGTTTTTTCATAACAGTTGAAAGCACAGAAACTATGCTTACAGTGGTTTCGGAACTCTTGAAAGATAATTGTTTTCTGGGTCAAGCATCGTAAATAGAGATTGATTATCCATCTATAAGCTGATCTTTGGTAAAGTATCTAAGATAAAATAAAAGCTACCAGCTAACAAGTTTTTTTAATTTTTCATTCAGATAACTATCAATCATTCAAATTGAAAACTCTGGCATAATCAAAATGCCTTCATTTGGAAATCTTAAATGTAATACAAAGTTTTGGTATGGGGTCATGAATTTGGTTCAATTAATGAACATATTGGAAGCATACGCGATCCTACAATATTCAGTGTTCATTGTCACGGTTGAAATCAAGTCTAAAATGATGAAATTGTAACTGCTTCACAAGGTCAAGATATTAATTTAGTTTTAAAACAATGTTTCTTGACTAAAATTGACAGATCTGCTATTTCCGTTTGGAAATTATATATCACAACTGCATATTCTGAGATTGTCATGGTCACAGCTACTATTGGATGGCTATATAAGCTATTTGAAATTCATCAAAATTACCTGGAGTACCAGTAAATCTATATTCATTTTTTTCCTTGAAAACAGAAGTGGGGGCTAATTTTTCTAGTGCTTATAATACATACTCTGGGGGATCTAAATATATATCAACATTTCAAAGAATCGCAATCCGTCCATTTACAAAATTTCCCAAACTTTGTATTAACTTTATGATGTCCATTTTGTATCTATATTCCAATGTACATGTTCTACACTAAATAATGTACTCTAAATTGAAAGATAACATATATCGGAAATAAAATGATCAAAATATACAAAAATTAATCTTTCTGACCTTAAAATGTCACTCATATACATATGGCTGTCAATATTCATCCATGATAATAGTTCCAAAGAAAGAAATAGATCAGGAAATATCAAATCAGATATTTTCAAAGTGGAATTTTGGAGAGTACCAGTTGTTATATTGGTATGATATTAGAAGAGCATATCACAGCCCAGAGCAGATGATATTTTCTGCTCTCATAAGAGAAATATTGACCTGTCAAATGCAATACAGCATTATAGGTCTCTATTTTTGCTTCACATCTTGAAGATCCATCAACAAATAACACCCAAATACCAGATCTACATAATGCCTATTGTACCTCTTTTGTTCACTACTTCACAAGCCTCTGCATTCGAAGAAAACCAAATTAGAGCACACCTTTTCAAACTTTCTTTATTTTAAAAGATAGATAGAGAAGGGTAAATATAATATGCAGAAAGAGGGAGAGATATATATATATATATATACAAAGGAATAGAGTGATGAAGAACGTACCACCAAAATAGAAAACACCCAAAACAGATATATATATATATATATATATATATGTGTGTGTGTAGAAAAAGGAGGAAAGAGACAAGGATATGATTTGAAACTGGAGAGCCAGAAAGGGTTTCATCCATTCACAAACAGTCCTAATTCCGCCTATCAGCAGATGATATAGCAGGATGTGGTCCTGATACTGAAGAAAAAAGAGTTGTTATAAAACTGAGATGTCGGAACATTAGTAGATTTTTAATGATTTTTGTTGGTCTTTATAGAGAATTTAAAGTTTTTCAATTTGACCTTTTTCACAAACTCCCGTTGAAAGATTATCCGTAATGGCCACTCTCTAGCTCTCTCCTCCATATATCCTATCCCCTGAAGCCAAACTTTCACTCGAGTGATTGTACGAAATATGACACGCTTATCAGATTTGAGCAGAAAATAAATATATTTGGGTTCTACGTCGAGCTGTCATAAGCATGACATCTAAATCAACAACACTGAAAGCCTTACCTTAAAAATGAGCTATACATATGACGCAAATTAAACAACATATCCGGTTTCCTACGGTGAACTGCTAAAGTATTGGTGCACACAGAAGATAAATCTTGCAGAACATAGATAAATGGTAGGTGTGGGAAGTGGGTAAAGAGGAACTTGAAAAATGTTTTTGCCAAGAAATGTTCAATAGAATAAACTAATCAATCAAAATAAGAACATAAACTTGGTATCCACTTTACTAATTAACTTATGATATATCCTATCTGCAGTCAATCCACACAGAAAAATATACGATAATTACTTTTGATATAGACCTGTTCATAATTTATTTCCTGCTCTTTTCACAGTTCCACAGAAGTCAACGCCCTCCCTGCCCTGTTCCCTGCTTGAAACAATATTGAACAGTAATGCTAATTACAATGCAACCTTTCATTTCACAAGCAAAGTATAAGCAAGTTTCTTGATTTTAAAGGCATTTTAAAGCAAATTTGAGCTTGTGTTCAAAATTCATATAGACATTGTCACAAAGACTGTAACAAAATGAGCTTAAAGACAATTTCAATACCTCCATTGTATTGCCAATAGAAATCAGACAACGTGCATGTAATATATGTTTGCACAGGTCAATCTGTGATGCGCAACGCTATTGAAACTGCCTCGGTTGATTTCTTGAAAGTCTTTCCTATCGTGTTGTATGTGTGTATCCATAATTTGAAATTGATGAATTCAATTATTTTACCCTTTTAACTTTCATCAGAGGAGGCACGATAGCTCAGTTGGTAGAGCAGTTAATCATTCATCCTTATTACCAGGTCCCCTCGGAGAGGACCTAAATCCATCAGTCCTCTGGTTGCTAACCAACAAGCATTTATGCTTTCTTAGCAGTCAGTTAAAATAACCACTACTACTACTACTGTACGATCCCTTTAAAACTTGCTGATAAACAAGATGCACCAAGGTAGACAAAACAGCAATCAACGCTATTTCTGGAAATGCCAAATGATGCTATCTAATTCTGCCAAACCTATCATTACAAGAAAGTGTTTTGGGATACAATCATGTTTTCACGGGGGTGTTGCGAAATTGCAACGTAAATGAAGAATAAACTTTGGTTACTTTTAAGTAAGGAAAACTTAAAGTGGGAGCTACATTTACATCTAGAAGTGTCTAGGGAACACCAAGAGCTTGTTTTTGTTATCGAAACTTTTGTCTCTTTCAATACATTTTCACATCTAACACAAACAAAAGTGGAATTTCACCATCCCTATCAATTCATGACATAAAAGAAAAGATCAACATTATGATTAAACCCCTCAGCAAAAAAGCAAGAAATCTGATAGTTTTACTTCAACATTAAATAAAAGTAGGTTCTCTTCTTTCTGGACAGCTTTCAAAGTATTGCAAGACATTTTGAGTGCCCTGTGTAACATAGAAAAACACATTTTGAAGGCATCTTTCTCATATTACTATGCGGAAAACACCTTACACAAGAATGAAAAGACAGGATAAAAGATAAGATAAGAAATAAAGTGCGCCATCTGCCCTACATCTACATGAAACCATCATCAAAGAACAAGTAAAATATATATCAAAACTTTAAACACATACCTTCCACTAAAAATCAGCAAAAATATAGTTTAATTTAAAGATTTGTGATCATTTTATCAACTTCTATCAAACTGAAAATGCTACAGAATAAAATATTTATGCCAACAATTTGATTGTGTACAAAATAATGACACTGAATGTACTAAAAAAAAAAATCACTAAATGAAAAAAGTCAAATATCCCTGAATAATAAGCATTATGCTTGAAACTTGGCAATATTATATTCAACCACTATCAAAACAAATTGTAATTCAAAAAAATATATATCATTCTATCTCTTTGACATGCTTGATGAATGTTGATATTAGTATTGATAGAATCATATTAGAGAAATTTCTATAAAGATATTAAATGTATCTTTAAAATATCACCAACAGGATTATGAGGAGGATGCTCGAGACAAGCAGAAGTAAAAGGAGGGAGTGTACGTACATCATCAGGAAGTGATAGTCAGTAACCCCTCGTAAGAGGGAAAATGCTGACTTTAATAAATGGTGATAATGATGATGATGATACTAGAGAAGATTATATATAAAATCTATCCCGCCTGCTAATAATAACATGCCAGAATGCATTTTTTTCTCTTGAATTTTGCTGTGGATAAGTTTTGAACAAGAAATATATATTCAAATTCAAATTTACTTATTAAAATCAAACATACAGAATCATTCCAAATGCTAGCAAAATCACCAGCCACCCCCCCCCCCCCAATGCACCTCTACATCAAACCTGCCCCCCCCCCCCTACAATCCTTTCAATAATAAAATGGAAAAGAAGGAAGGGCATGGGTATCAATTACCTTGCTGTGTTGTAATAATCTACAGAGCTAGAGCCCTCTGAACCCCTTACTAATGAGCTGGCTGACTATGCTTACGGATAAGCTATTTTGAGCAGTAGTGCGCTAATCAACAATTTCCCCAATTGAAGTAATTACTGCTGGCCGATGGGCACGGCTACTTGTAAGGACCATGCTGACTGAAGGCTGGCTGAAGGCACACCCATGCTCTGATGAGGTGTGGATTAAAAGGTTGTGTAGGTTTGCTGGAGTCCT